AACAAACCTGTGTGTCTGTGTCTATTCTCTGTGCCTCCGCGCCTCTGTTTGTGTCTCAGCTTGTGCCTGTGCGTGTGTCTCTCTGTGTGTCTGTCTGTGTGTGCGCCTCTGTATACTTCCCCCTTAAACATCACCCCCGCCTACAGCAAAAGCCCACGCCCAAAAAGTGACGTTCCAAGCCACGCAGGGGAAGTCCCTGCATGATGGCGCATGCCGTACGTGCCTTGGCATCTTTGTCGTCGGCCTAGATCGTTCGAAGAGGAGAATCGCATCGGCTGCACGGAAAGCCCATTTATTGCTTGGGGTTGCTTAGAGGCTTCTGGAGCCTCCCTCATCAAAACCCGGATTCGGTTTTCCCTTCAAAAAAACAAACAAACAGCAAACAAGGGGCAATCACCTCATAGCAGCACAATGTCTGCAACTGCTTTGCCCATGTTGTAGGGCCGCTTCTTTCCTGGAACTTCTTCCCGGCCCCGTGATTGGGGGAATGATCACAAGACTCAGATACTTCGTTGATCATGGCAGTAGTGTGGACCCCCCGCAAAAAAAGAGGAGGAAACAACAAAAAAGAAAAACATGCTTCCTGTCCACCGTCCACTTCCCTTCTAATTTTGACCCCGGATTGACAAAAAGGCGTGGCACGCGCCCGTGTGTCACTCACAAAAGTGCTCTGGATTCCCCCCTCTTCATCAACCAGGCGTTCACATTAAAACTCACATCTCTGAGACTCTGAGGGCCCAGGTGGTCACGCTGAAAACTCCAGAGGCAAGCCCTCTGGACATCTGCCTCGAACCTCTGAGGCGCGTACGCTCGCGGGATACAGGATCAGCTCCTCGGCTCGCGTCCGGGTCTGAAAAGGGCTCCAAAGGAAAGAGGCTCGGAGGAGTAGGCCAATAGCCAATAGCGATTTCACTCTTTCGACCCTCCCTGCGGAAGCCCCAGGAAAAGACCACAAAAGGAAAAAAAAACTCCTCCTCCCCCCTTCCCCCCGCCGACAAGACATAACAGTACATCGGGTTTGTCCCCCCCAAAAGCCAAAAGAGGGCTGGAGGTGCGGGATTGAACCGAAAGGCCCCATAGACCCCCCCAAGAGGGTCCCTCTGCGGGATTTCTTGCACCACAAACGGGCCAGAATGGTTTTTCCAAAATCTGTGGCTCCCAGTGGCTTTGAGACAGTTGGGTACATCGAGATCAAATCTGGGCTTTGAGAAGGAGGGAACCCAAAAGCCAGCATGGTTACCGAGGCTCCAGGAGATGGAAGGAACTCTAAAAGCCATACCCTTCGTTTGGCCACTCGACAATCCCAAAACCCTCGCTCACTTGCGTTCAAGCTTGCCCTTGCGGCAAAACGAGCTCACCGCCAAAACGACTCAGACCTTTTGCCGCTCACGCACTCTCCTGCACATTTGGCAGATCCTATGGCGCCTGTCGAACTCGAGCTGTGTGACAGCAGCCTTGCCTACCAGTATCTACACAGCCAAATGCCAACCTTTGGCCGATGGCATGAAGTGAAAACGGGTGCATCGCGCTGGGAGTGACTCAAGGGATTCGCCAAAAGAAATCGGCGGCTTCTTTTAGAGGTCCTCAAACAAACAACCAAAAAGGGGGAGAAGCAAGCGGAACTTCTCCAAAAAAGGAGTCACACCCTTGCCATGGTCAAAACAGCTGATTCATCCCTGCTACACAGAAACAAAAACACAAAGTAAACCTAGAAGACTTCCTCAAATGGATCCCAGCCTCAACATGATGGACTCGGTTTTTTTTGGCCATGGCACCTACGGCCCCTACGGCCCTACGCTCGGGGCCTCAGCGCGAGGTCTCTGCAGGTGGCCTGGTGGTAGCTGGTCACGTGCTGCAGCGCCTCCGCATATTGCTCCGCCAAGGCTTCGGTCCGGCGCTCGGCTTGGAGGTGGGCCAACTGCAAGTGCCTTAATGCCTTTTGCAGCTTGTCCTGCAGGCTGTGTCTTTTCTTCGGGAATTCTACGATCCCCTCCAAAATGGATTCCGTCGACCTTGTATTTCCTTATATTAAAACCCACAAATACGGCAACTCCGCAAAAAAAAAGCAAGCCGCTGATCCTAATTCTAATTCAAGCTGGTTGGTGTTGCTGCTTACGGTTACACACCAAGTGCCAAGTAGTCAAAAGATTTCCCAAGAAAGGCACGCTGAACTTCCAGCCAAGACTCTGAGAGACTCGTGTTGGGAAACCGGTGGTTTCATCACGTTTACTCAGGGGCTTTTTGCCACCTTTGGCGCGACCCCCTCAACAAGGAATCCTTCACTACAAGGGGGTTGATCATCTTTCCACCATAGGTGGCAAAAAGACCCCCCTGCGTTTACTTACCGGAACCCCCGAAACAAAGTGCCAAGTCGGAGGAATTCCCCTCGAATTCTCCCAGCAGGGTTTATCCTGAAGGGTTCCTTCAGCTGCGTTGGGGCAGGGGGAAACAACCAGACCCAATTCGGTTTGCAGGAAAACAGAGGTTGCTTGAACAATACGTTTGATCCAATTGATTTGGCCCAACCCTGTCCTGAACCGAGCACCTGAAGCACAGCTTGGACATCTCACCCTGAAAACGGAGGAAGCCCTTGGACAAAGCACATGGAACTCTGCAACAGCCCAGCAGCTCTTGCAGCCAAAGCGTGCCAAGCGCTTGAAATGCCGCTTCCAGCCCATCCGCTCGGGGCAGAGGATCCTTTTCTGAGTTTAGCGGCTGCGCCGCAGTCAGACGTCTGCCGGTGGCCCGATGCAGCTTCTGACGCTGGGCCTCCGTCCCGTACAAGCACAGCATCCGGCGATGCGAGCGCTCTCTGTCCAGGCCGCTTGCATCCTCAGCCATGCGGAAATGAGCCGCGAAGCGCACGAAGCCACGAACCCTTGAATCGCCGACTAGGCGAAATCCATACGCATCAGCCTCGCGCCGAAATCTCGCGGGCGGGGAAATTTGAGCCCAAAGGGTCACCTTCGGTGCACGACTTCCATGCGATTGTCTCCACCCCGTATTTGCATCTCTTTCAAAAAGCCCAAGCGGGCTCTCTTCACGTAGACACATGCAGCTTGAACATGGAACGTTCACTTGGTCGCATTTGATTGCGCTTGCTTTTGGATGTTACGCCACAGTTGAGCCGTCATGATCGCTACTCCCCGCGAATTTCCGTCCAAGCAAAACACTATGTGTCCAGAGGGATCTCCTTTTCGGAGTTCCATGTCACTTGAGTAGGACTCAACCTCACAAATGACAGTTGTCTTCCCATGTCTTCCCTTATCCAGCCCAGAAACTGTTGCCTCAGAAACAACACCCCCAATTCCATCCAGGGCGTGCTAGTTGTGTGCACATTGGTGAACATCGTGGGGGTCCGTGTCCAGCAACCATGCTGTTTAAAGGCGTTCCCCATTACAATCATTACAATTGGTCTATGCATGGCCATGTGAGCGGTCAACATATGTGGTCCTGAAGGACACGGACAAATGAGTGAGTCCCCTAGCTTTGTTTTTTATCTCAGTGCCCCATGTCCCTCACAGATTGGCCATAGACACGATATCTTGACCCAACCTCATTTAAGGCACAATCAAACCTGGTATTTAAGTGGCCTACCCAAAAAAAAGTGATAAACAAATCACAAGGACGGATACCCTCTCTCCCATTGTTTGTCTTCCAGGTCCCACAGCCGCACCCCTTGCTTTTCATGCTGGGTCATACGTTCTTAGCCCACGAAACCCGGCCCTGTCGCCGAACCACCAACTCACATGGGCATGTATCAAAAATCGGGGACCGAAAAGAGTGTGGATTTCCTTTTGGCGTCCCTGTAAACCACACCCAAATCCTGTAAACCCTCAAAAAAAAGAAGGGAAAGGCCCAAATGGCCCAACTGCGCCTTTTAAAAACTTGGAATCGGTGTTGCTAGATTTCGCCCGCGCAGATTGCGCCTCCTTGTAGCTCCGCAGCACCTCCGAGTCCACACCTTGGCGCGAAACCCCCACGATCAGCTGCAAATCCGGTCGAGGGCCGGACCACAGCGGATGATGACATAGGCTTCATCAGACCTCGGCGTCTGGGGCAGTGGTTGAAAACTTGAGTTCTAAGTCTCAAACGGGTGCAGGTACCCTCAAAGACATACGCCGAATTCGGGTGGCCTGCACAAGCCTAACAAATGGCTCACTTTGGGATGGTGCACACATTGTCCTTTGGCAAGCGCTTGTTACCCGTTGATTGGGGCAAAAAAGCTTGATGTCCAAACGAACAGCACCAAAAAAAACTCGCCCACCCACAAAGGCGAGAGGAATCGGGACCCCGTCTCAAGGGTTGCTCACAAGGCTGCTCGTTTGTTGCCAGTAGCTCCCTGAGGCTCTTCTCCCCAAATCTCGAGTGGGCAACCCTGTCAAAGAAGCTTTTCTGAGCTCCAAGCTCAGCTTCGAGCGGGTACTGGCAGGCAAGCTGCTTGCTCCCAAATCGGGCCAATCGGATCTCCGCAAGGGTTTGTAGTTGCTCTGAGGGCACCTTTGTGGGTTGGCTTACAGGGAAACCAACAGGACACCAATCCTTTTGGGGATCCAAATCCCTACTTTGACACATACCCAGACTGGCGGTGACTGGCGCCTCCTGCTTGCTGTCGCGGTCATGAAGGGTGACCTGCCGAAATGGATCCAAGGCTCGGGATTCCTTTCCAGCTTCCTGAAGCAAGGGGGGCTGAAATGCTAAGGGCTCCCCTCGCCGGACATTGCACAAAGCGAAAAGACGCCAAACTTTTCGCAACAAGTCAAAAAGTCAAAAAGTTTTCGAGTTTTCGACTTTTTGAGTTTTCGACTTTTCTACTTTTCGAATTTCTGGGGACTTTTCAACTTTTCGGGTAGTCCCCCCCCGCTGTGGTTTGACTTTTCGACTTTTCGATTTTGTTTCGACTGTTCGACTTTTCGGCTTTTCTAGTTTTTTTAACAGCGCGGCTGCCCTTGGCTCGAAGAGTGCGGCCTAGCCCACTGATAAGCTCTCATGCCTTTGACTGCGACGTGCCCCTACAACTTTGCAGGCTCTGGTGGGCCCGGTGTCGCTTTTGTGGGGCGTGAAGGCACGCGTCTCGAGCCCCACAAAGTCATCTAGTATGACTGCTCAAAGAAGAGTCCACAGATAAGCTTCAGCTCCAGAGCATCATCGGCGAGTTGGGCTTCCCCGTGTCGGCATCGCGAAGCGTGGAAGACTGGCCTGCAATATCTCTGCTTCCATCTTGGGGCGGGTGATATGGCTCTCCACCTCCCTAAACTTTCCAGTCTTTGGCGGGCGTCAGTTTTGTGGGGCGTGAGAGGCTCGTGCTTTGAGCCCCACAAACTGGTGCTTGACAGCGGCGCGAAGCGCAGTGTAGCCCGCTTGAACTTTTTCACGTGAATAGCGTTTGAGAGCGAAAGGCTGATGGGGCACGAAAGGCTGGCCTGCTGCATCTCTGTCTTTATCTGGGGGTGGGGGATTACACAAGCTGATGCTTTCCAGAAAGGTCGCGGGATCCGGACTTGAAGCTAGTTGGCAGACGTGTTTGCCTCAAGCGCCGCACTTGTAGCCGGTTTTGCATTTTCTCCATGTCCCTTAGAATCTGTAGCGATGTGGCCAGAGATCTCGCATTGAAGATGTCAGCGCAGCATGTTGTCCAGACCCTTTGGAGCGAGCTCAGTTGATCAGTGGTCATGTAGACACGATCTACGCAGCAGCCGCGCAGGGAGTCTGTTGCGGCACGTTGGCGCACGCCAATCTCGAGATGATCTCTTCGTTTTCGCCATGATTGCAGCTGTGCTACAGGAGTTTGCAGTGTCTGGAGATATCGCCGTTGTGCCCTTGCTGCAGCTTCCGACAGTGAATGAACAGCCTTCCCCACAAAGTTTTGAGCAGCAAGTGGTGCTTAAGTGGGGTTCTATTTGGCGCAGTAAAGCGCACGCTTTGCCCCAGGGAGCACAGGAATCTTTTCAAGTCGTTTGGGCCCAGTGCCTGGTTTTTGCAAATGGTGTTTCTTTTCGAAGACTTTTTGATGAGCGGGCGGTAGTGATTCATAATGTTGCTCTGCTGCTCGATGGTCTGCTCAGCCGACCTTCTGTGTCCGGTTTGCGACTTAAGGTGTGACTTGCGCAGGCGTAACAGAAAGGCTGCTAGAGTGACTTTCGTGAAACGTTCACTAGAAGGACGCCGTTTCCGCGAAAAAATAAGGCGTCCATGTGAAACGCATAGTGAAACCAATGCAACATCGACAATGGCACTTTCGGGCTGCTTGCGGCCGCTGCAGTATCCCTGCGCGCAGTGCTTCCCACCTGCGTGCGAATTTCCAGTTTCTGGCGGGCTTCCCATGTGTCGGTTTGAAGCAAAGCTTGATTGTGAGTGAGTTTTCTTTTGCGACCATTGCCACAGCTGACTGCCTTGCGCAAGGCCCTTTGCAGCACTTCTTGGCTCCAGCAGGGGCGCGGCTTAGCCCGTCAAAGCAACAAACTGCAGCAGCGCTGCGCTCGATCAAAGTTGCCATGGGCAGCCCTGCGCGTGACGTGGCTCCGTCTCCGCTCTGCCTTGCAGGGGAGGAGACACCGCCGCCCCCGAGCGGGAGCGAAGGCTTTGCCCTTGTCGCCGCTGAAAGAGAGGACCTGCTTGCAACTCAAGCTGAGGCGCCGGACTACTTGAATGCCTTGGATGCTTTGGAGGCTGATGCCATTCGAGAGTATGCCGCATTGAAAGAAAAGGTCTCCTCGGCTACGGACGCTTCTCAGCTCGGCGAGAAAGCCCAGCAGCTCAAGCCAGAGGATCTCGAGAGATTTCACAACGCTTGGGCCAAGTTAGTGTACGATGTCAAAGAGGTATACCAAGCCATTGGCTTCCACCGGAGGCAAGACAATGTCAGCTTGCGATCATTCGTCACTTCGCACTGCTTGGGTTTCTTCTCCGACTTGCTTGAAACCTTGGTCCTGGACCCAGTCAACGCACAGGCAGACACGTCCCTTCGCTCTGCTTGCCCGTTCATCATCGCAGAAGCTGCTGGCCGTGTTTCAGTCGGGAACGGCTTGCCTCGTGATGGGCATGTGGTTTTCAGCGCTTTCCAGGGCTAGTGTGCTTATTATTGGAACGGCCCCACAGGTGGCCTTCGGAACCCCCCCGTGGAAGGAACTGAAAGTGACTGGAACGTGGCCGCTTCAAACTTGCCTCTTGTTGTGGCAGGAGAGTCAGCAGCGGGCAAGGACAACTTGAAGCGACTAGTGCTGGGCTGGCTCGGCAAGCTGGGTGGTGAAGACAAGCCTGCCACGCATGCCCTGTTGCAAGGACAGGCGTTGGGGCACGGTGAATGGGCAGGGGCGGGAGACGTTCTTTTTGGGAGGGCAAGTCTTGCGCTCGTGCACCAGCTGCGCAATCCTCTGGTTTTTCGAGTGTGGTCTTAGCGCTTCGCTAAACTAAAGCCTAGCACGGCCTAACCCATGGGAGGATCACTCACCGTCACGGGTATCATGGAGGAGTTGCTAGAGAACAGCGGTCAGCTCCAGATCATCAACGGCGAGCTGGAGAAGGTGATCAACAAGAGGAGGGAGAAGATGCTGCAGGAGAGTGACCTCATAGAACTCCTCGATGGTACAGACGCTTTTGGAAAGCGAACTGGTAACTGGGCAGCAGAATGCTTGCTTGAAGCCTGTGGTTTGGGCTTTGCTGGGCGCGCAGCTGCCGACATACGTGCGGGAGATGGGGTCCGACTTGAACGGCGGGAGGCTCCGGTTTGTCATTAGCACCATCGACTCTGCGCAGGTGCAGACCACGGCCTTTGAGGAGAAGCTGGTGCCCCGTAATGCGTCCAACCAGCTGCTGGTCAGTGTGCTGCGGGAGATCCTCCGCGCGCAGCACGCTTCCGCAAGCCCAGACGCTCATCAGCCGGAGATGGCTGGCGGGCTAGCCTTACCAGAAGGAGGTGAGGCTCAGCAGCCAAGCAAGCGACGCATTCAGTTGCGGCTGCCGCGCAGCAAGCGCGCCAAGGCAGAGGGGGGACGGTCAGGGCCAGGGCAGCGAGATGGAAATTGAGCGCATGCAGTGGAGCAGCAACTTTGGTGCTGGCAGGTGTGCTGGATGGCTCTGGCCAAGCTTGTGACAAGGCAGGCAAGTGCCCGGGTAGCTCAATGGTGACGAAGCACGCAGGAAAAGCGTTTGGGGCAATGGCGACAGCCAACGCAGCAATGCGGAATGGTATGCTTCGGCGGGCCCTCGGAGACAAGGTTCCAATTGATAGCCACGTCAGGATTTTGGACAGCCTTGCCGCAATTCCAAAAATGGAGGCCAGTTGCTGGCTGAGCCAGAGCCTGAGCTCATCCCAGACCTCGACCCCATTGACTTCGCAGCTAGGCGCCTCTTCGACGGCTTGGCCAGTGAAGCGGAGGGGGAGGAGACGCTGCTTGAGAAGGCCACCACTTTGGGCATGCCCTTCAAAATCAACAGCAAGACGGCGTGGTACAACTTCCGCCAGCTGCACTTCAGTCGTGGCAGGAAGCGACAACAAGGCCTTGAGCTGAAGATGCTGAGTAAGAGCCTAGTTGTGCGCTCAGATAGACGTAGGGTTTGGAAGCGACAACAAGGCCTTGAGCTGAAGATGCTGAGGTTGCGCGCTCAGATAGACGTAGGGTTTGTGCGGGTTTGAAGGGAATCTATCACTACTGGGAGTATTTTCAGTTTTGCCGGGGGCTTAAGCAAACGGAAGCTAGGTTTCTCGTTTTCCTTTTGAAGCCGACCAAGAGGGGTCGGTGCAGAAGTGAGACCCTGCCCATTACAAGCTCCACGGGCCCACCTCCCTTCCATGTGGCGTGCATGCATTGTTTGAAATCTCCACAAGGCAAACTATATGATATTCATGTTTGGTATTTCTTTTTGTGGGGCTCGGAAAGGCCTATTCCGTGCCCTACAAGGCCGGGTCTGGCAGGAAGGGTGAAGATGTGAGACCTTGCCCGTTGCAAGCTCCACAGGCCCACGAAACTTTTCGCAAAAAGTCAAAAAGTCAAAAACTTTTCGACTTTTCGACTTTTCGAATTTCTGGGGACTTTTCGACTTTTCGAGTGATTTTTTGAGACTTTTCGACTTTTCACTTTTCGACTTTTCGAATCAAAAACACACAGTTTTCATTTTGTGTCCGTGACCAGCCAGAGGACACCACTCAAATTCCAGGGCTGTGGAGAATGGAATCCACTTCTGTGATACAGAAAGAGCCTAACCCCAAAGACGACTTTGCGAATAGAAAGGAGGATTCCCAAAATCACAGAAATGATCCCACAACCCTGGGCTGAAATGAGTGAGTCAACATCAGGGAAGCCCAAAGGAAGCACCCGTTAGGGGGCGAATCCTCGGATGTTCCGATCACCAGGCGGCCTTGTAGCTGCCTTCATCCAGGGCCATGACTGAGTTGTACCTGCGTCTGATCTCAGAAGGGTGTCTTCTTGTTTTGGCAAGGACCCAACATGGTAGTTGTCCTTTTGGTTTTCCTTCAAAACCACAAGAAAGAGCTACACTCAAAAAAGGAGAACCCAGGAAGGATTGATCCTTGGCAAAATGAAATGGAACTCCAAAAGCGGTCCGATCCCCAAAAGAAGTCTCCTCTGACAGTATACCCTCCACAAAACACAAATGGGTTGTTCCACAAACCCATAAAAGGAGGGAGTGACCACCCAAATGGTTCCATTTGAGGAGACGGGGTTGAGTCAAACTGGAAAAAAACACCAAATTGCACGATTCCCTTCAAACCAACCCAAGGGCAACCTCAACACAACTTCCCAGATCCTCTCGCCTCAAGGTCTCTGTTTTGTCTTCCTCCTTCTGTTGGATCTCCACCACCGAGTCTGAGGAGCCCTAGCAAGGACAAGGCGAAGGGCGATAGCGGCTGCATACCGCCAAGCTGTTCAAACACTCTCCGCCTCTCCGTTTGGTGTCCCTTTGAGGGCAGGGTCCAACTCCTGAAGTTGCTTGATTGCTTTAACCCGGTGCTCAAGGAAAACACCCGAACAAATCACACATGTTGGGGGCTACCTGGGTGTCGTCTCCCGAACCAAAACGGGAGTGCCAAGCCTCCAAATGGAGGAGACAACAAAAAACAAACAACAAAAAACGACGAACTCTTTTGTGGGTGGTCCGGCAGTGGTCCGGTTGGTGTCCCAAAGCCGCAAGCACAAGGGCACCAACTTCGCCTCAAAAAATCTCGGCGCCGCTGGGCGCCTGGAAGGTATCCAGCAGCGCCACCTGCGGCCCCGAGAGCCGCGCGAAGACGTGGGACCTCGGCGCCCGAGAACCGCGAGTTCGCGCCCGAGGTCCTGGGGCTGGGGAGAACGAACGCCTGCCGTAAAAATTGGCGTTCTGGAAAACCTGTGGGCTTCTTTGGCCTGATGGGCATCGGGTGTAATTACCCCTTCAAGGGCTGTCCAGTCTCTATGGGTGTACCCCTACCTGTAACTGGAGACTGGGGTTGAAAGCTGGTCCCTGGCGAGAAACGGAGCTCAAAGGAGACTTGGCAACCAAATCAGTTCACATGGATGTTTGGCGCAAGAGACTCAAACTTTGCAAAGGGCAAGGGAACAAGGGAGCCAAGTATTTCGAGGCTTCCGATTTGGAATCCGAAGTTGACACATTTTCACCTGGAGTTTCTCTTGCTAGCTCAGCTGCATCTCTGGCGGCAAGGGACACTTTGGGACCGATGCCAGGCCAGAAGTGTCCCTTGCGGGGGTACAAACCTAAACCCCGCCCAGCAACCCGGGTCCCAACCACTGCTCTTTGGACCGTGCTAGGGATTTTGGACATGGGAGAAAGCAGTTGTTGGAGGGTGGCGTTGTTTTGCTCTCTTTTTGTTCGTTCCCTCTCTCACTCTCTCTCTCCCTCTCTCTCTGTCTGTGTCTCTCACTGCTGAAGCTTTGTCAGGCTTCCCGGCGTGAACGACACCGCCATGCTGGCCTTGTCGCAAGTCGAAGTCCACCCATGCAACCCAATGGGGCCGGTAGTTGGCTTCCCTTGAACAAGGGCGAAGGGTGATCCTTTTGTTTGAGCCTGGAGTTTGCTCTGCAGACAGTTCATCAGTGCTTCTACAAACACACTGACTTGTTTGTTTTTTGGGGCCTTCTCCTTCTTTCCCCCTTCCCCAATAAACCGCGTCGAACAGACACTGTGCAGTATCGCAAAGGCAAAAGGCCGAAGTGCGAAGGGCAAACCCTAAGCCTCCAAGCCTCGCCCTCCGAAGCCCCACCCGCAGCGACAGCCCGAGTCCAAGCCATCGCCTTGTCGTGGCGGCGCACCACCAGCACCAGCACCGCGTCCTCCTTGGGGAGGTCGTCGATGGTGAAGGACCCGGAGCCCAAGCCTGCGACCTCCCAATGTCACACCCTCCCAGCTGTTGTTGGAGAGAAATGGCTGTGGGTCCATGGGTATCCATTTTGGAACCCTAGCAAATGGGACCAAGGACTAAAACCTGCGGTCCAATTCCTGGTGACCCACCCAGCTGTTGGAGAGAAGTTGGTGCGGAAACCCGTGGAACGTGCAAAATGCCTAGAGGTACTTCAAACAGATCAACTGCAAGATGGAAACACGAGAAAGGATGAGAACACGCCGGGGAAAACGGGAGGTGATCCAATCTTTTCAGCCCAATCCAAGGACTTTGGCCCGAGTTGCTGCGGACTTCTGGCTGCGGCTGGGGGACCAAGGGACAACCTGAAAAAAAACAAAACAAATGGAAACCAAAGTGGAAACTACAGAAGAAACTGAAACGAAGGGAAAGTGGAACACTCGACAACACATGAGCAGCGCCCAAAACTCATTGACTGTTGGCTCTACCAACATAATTATCAAGATGGCTATCAAGACGTATAGGGAGTACTATAATCTCTGTTGAACCAGGCACTAAAATGGGGCCTTTTGAGGTTTTGGGCGCTGCTCACAAGTTGAAAGAAGCCGTGCCGAAGCGTTCGTCGAAGGCGAGGTGCCAGTCACGAGCGAGCCTTGAAGTTCACGTTGTCGCCGGATCGCATATCGCCGGTGTACTCGAAGCAAGACTTGTACCTAAAGGCTCCAAGGGCTACCCATGGAAGCTGACTGAGGCGGTCCTTTGGTGAATTTCTGCTGATCTTCTGTCAACTTCCATGGGAGAGGGCTGGTGCGTTGGAAACGCGGCCAAAAGGGCCTTTTGAGAGGAAACTGTCCAAACCAGGACTCCCAGTCAGGTTCCACGTTCGTAGTTCTACCGAATGGAAGTGGACAATCTTGAAGCAGATCTTGGCTGCCCGCTCTAAGGCCTTGCGGATCGTGACCTGCACCGGATCGCTTCGTGCGGGTGCTGACAGATCCTCCCGCCTCGTTGAGATCAACTTGGACTGGAGCGTCAGCGGGATATGCGCTGCATATCTGAGACAGGCGTTGCGTCTGCAGGCGAAGAGAAGCTGTGGCCGGTTTGGTCCGACCCCAGACCAGTGCTTCACCTCCACTTTATCTTTTGGGCCCATGAACCAAAAGGCAAAAGGGAGGTCATCAACCACGTCTGCTGAAAAACAAGGTCCCCCGTTCCAAACGCAGTCGCGGCCAAGCTCGTCCAAGAGCCAGGCTCTCAGCTTGAGCTTGTAATCCAGGTTCTTCACAAAGCTACCCTGCCTCAGAGAGGAGTTACTCGTAGATCCAGTGAGCAATTACATATGTTTTTCACTTGCGGGGGAAAAAAAAAAAAACGGGCGTTGACTGCTCAAGCTGCAACATGGGGCGCTCTCCTTGTGGTGTCCTAGTGGTTTCCCTTGCGGGCGTGGGGGAAGGAAAGGCGGATCGCCTCTTGGCTTTCCTTGAAACCCTTCTCAATACAAAGGAGGGCCGGGAATGGAGGTCTTTGTGGGGAGGGGGAGCTAAGGCGAGCGACAGAAAGGCCGGCCTGTGCCCCAGGTGCACGAGATCCGTCAGCGCCCTCGGCGTGGGCCATGGGAGGGTGATCCTTGTACGGGCTTTGATAAAAGGGTGTGCATTTGCTTGGTGGAGCCTCTTTTCCTCTGAGTCTCTGAGTTTAAAGGGAAACCCAAAGGAAACCCAACTATTTAGGGGGCTCCTAATCCAAAATGAGCCCAACGACATTGGGGAAGACTCACTTTGAGACACCTGCCTTTGGTCTTCCAGCGATCGGAACGCGTTTACGACTCAGCGGGTCTGATAAGTGGCCGTGGCTCGAAACTTCTCGGAAGGGCACCGACTTGGCTGCTGGGACGGGAGTGGACAGGGAAGCAACCCTCCTGGCAAGCGGGTGTGGGTTAGATGTCTGAGCCACAGCCAAGCGGCCTTGGCCTGAGCGGGGAAAGGTTTTGCCAACTGCCACACAGCACCAAACTCGAACAAAAACAACAATACCCCGCAGAAGGTGGAAAATAGCCTCCAAGTGTCCACGTACGGAATTAACCCCCCCCCCCCAAGAATAAAAGAAGAGAAAAAGCCAGATGCTGCAGTGTTGTTTCTGTGGCTCGCTCAAAAGTTATAAACCGAGGGCAAGCCCCATCCGAATAAGGCAGCACAAGACGGGCCCCCAGCTTTTTTGCGGTCTTTTTCCACCGCATTCGGCTCGCGCGGTTTCTTCTTTTCCCAGTGGATCTCAGTTGCAGCATGTTCCATTTGATTTGTCAGGGTATCCCTTGTTGATTCCAGGAGACCTGCTTTCTGTAGGTTTCAGGGGAACCTGACTATGGAAACTGAATCTGAGTGTTCCAGTTTTGAGTTGTGGCTCCCTTATCAACACTACCTGCAGCCCAGAGGGCCAATGTTCGGAGGAAAATGGTCGGCGGGAGCCAGGCAGGTTCCAGCTTGCGGAGACTCCTCTGACAAATGGACCCCATAGCCCAGGTGATAGCCAGAGTTGATGACTTATCTCCGAGAAATCTGCCGAGTCTGGCATGTCGCCTACGAGTCAAATGGCGTCAGCCCAGGATGGACAGGATCGCCTTCTTCTCCTCCCCAAAGACAGCCCCCAGCTTGCTGAGCTCTTGCGCGGCTTCCACAGCGCCGGTCCGGTCCGCACCTTCGTCCGACCCCCCAAGAGGTTGCGAAAAAGAGGTGGCCACAATATGGTGGCTATACGGTCGTTATCATAAGTGTCCTTTTAGGGGAAATAGATGGCCCTGGTAGATGATTCAGCCACCAGGTAAACCAGGGCCATCTATTTTTCTATCAAAACAACCAAAAAGGACACCTATGGTCGTTGTATAGCATTGCTCCCGATTCCAAAAGCCATGAACTTGAGAGTTGAAACTCCTTTGAGAGATGGACTCCGTTGGTGGGTTCCTGGTCAACCAGGGGAGTGCCCAAGAAAGACAAGGGATGCTGAACGCGGTCTGGGGGACTCCCCAGAAGCCATCGAATTGACTAGCTGTGGTTTTTGGGGGATAGATTCGCCCTTAGAACCCAAGATCTTTTGTTACGGTCTCCTTCCAAGTACTCACCAGCAGAACAGAAGGCGTAAGGAGCCCCCGAAAAATGATCCATGTCTGATCGGAATGCTTTGGGCAACGAACCAAAAGCCTTTGGGTTCCTTCTATTTTTCAGAATCTCCGAAAAAAAGGACAGGGGTTGGGATTTTCGGTATCGATCCAAAACTTCTTCTCCTTTCGCCTTGGATCGGATGGTTTCCCGTCCAAACCCCAGCACTTGCTCTCCTGAAAAAAGAAGAGAGAAACACCATGTCGTCGTTCCTGCCAAGCATCCCCAAAGCAACATGAAGCCCAAGAAGCGCAACCACGACTCCCGGTTTTACACATTCCCGAGAGAGAGGGGGCAGCAACCGAAAATAGATGCAATTCAGGCACCCACAGCCCAAAAACAAGAAGGGACCAAACCCCCAACAAAACGGGGAACCGAACCTCTCCAAGGTCCCGCCTGCATCCACCAAAAATCGGACGGAGTTCACATGGCCGCGGCTGGCAGCCAACTGTAGCGGCGTGGCGCGACCCACCGGCTGACGGGGGTCCTGCGGCAAGGCGTCAGTTTGGGGTTGAGGGTTTCCATTGGCTGCCGGGGGGGGGGGGTCACTATGCACCATGAACCACCCCGCCAAAAACAAGCCTTTGTGTAGTCTCTATGTTATGGTGGCATATGGCTGTGGGTCAAAACCAATGGTACCATTTTGGGGTAGGTGCACCACCCATTTTAGAACCATTTTATTGGGACTGGGTCCCCTTCACTGGGGGTACGACTTGGATTTTGACCCCACACCCATATGGCGGCTTCATCCAACTCGTCCCCCGGCCCCGCCCGTCCTGCACGTTGAGCAGCGCCCCGCGCTCTATGAGCATCTTCACGCACTGCGCCAAGCCCCGCCCTGCGAGGTGGCCCAAGGCCACGCCCAGCGCCTCGCGCTTCGCTTGCGCTTCGCTCCGGGCGGAAGAATCCCACGGGTTGGAAATCGGCGGGTGGCTTTGAATTGGCGGGTCGAGTGCGGCTGATTTCGTCTGCAAGGTTTGGCCATGGTACTTTCGCGAATTTTCGAGCACATCCTGTAGGTACATGGCTTTCATTTGGGCTGATTTTTGGGTTTGACGTTTGTCTCAAACATCCACCTCATCAAACTCGCTGGCTGCTCGGCTTACCACTTCCCCAAACAAAAGACATCCATTCGAAAACCATGAGGCGTCGATTTACCCCTGAAAACTCCCTTGACCATCTTGGCCCACGCATCAAGTCTCGGTTTCACCTGGGTCCAGCAACGTCACCTCCTCTAGTTTCTTTGTTGAGAAACCCTGGAGATATCACCTGTCTGCCCCCACAATTCGGCCGACCGGTTTCAACACATTTCGCTTGAACAACCTCGTGTGGGCTTCCCTGTAAAGGGGCCGAAACGGGTCTGGTTTTTTAAAAGACAACCTAGTTTTGCCACCAACCCTGGTTGTGGAAAACTAACCATTTCCGTGAGAAGTAAGGAATTCCTATGACGGCTGTATCACGTTCAAGAGAAGTTCCTCGGCACAAACAGTGTGAGGGGGATTTCCTCAGCATCGCCGAACGCGTTCAAACACATCTTGGGTATCTTTTCGGGGAACCCGTTTCCCCTTGGTTGTCCTTTAAAACAACAGAAAAGGGCACCCTCAAAAGACCCATTCTGCAACCAAACCGGATGAAGGGGTTTACCCAATCCCTCGGCAAAGATTCAAAAGGACTTCCTACCCGCACTTGGCAAAGGGTAGGGTTTGGATTGCCCAAATCGGAACCACTGTGCTATGGGAGAATAGAACCCTCAGCCTTGTGGAATCCAGTGGGTATTCTATGGTATAACTTACCGGGCTTCCCACTGCAAACCGAAAAAGACACGGTTTGACCCTGCCAGCCTTCCTGCCTTCGCCCTCCCCCGCCCCCAGAAAACCGGCAACTCGCCCCCACATGGCCTCGGGGGAGTGCTCCTGGCGCAAAATCTTCTTCACGGCCTCCACGGCCTTCTTCTCAGTCCGCGCCTTCTCCAAGAAGCACACCAAGCCTCCCATCCGATCCATCCGATCCATCCCATCCATTCGCTTCGCTCCCGTGTGGTGTGGGGGAGGGGGGGGGTTTAAAGGGATCCCTCGAAGGATGCCAGCTTAGACCAAGAGCAAAAGCTACCCTAATGATCCAAAACCTGGTCAAGCAGGTGGTATGTATCCTTTGAGCAGTGCTGCCGACGGAGCGTGTTGTTTTGTGCTGGGAGGGTTGGAGTTGGGCTGAAGGGAAAGTACACCGTAAAGGGGACAAAGGCACTGGTTTTTTAGGTCATCCAACTAATTCAAGCCGTTGGTGTTGCAATTGAGCATGTGTCAGGGGAGCCAAGTGGCTTTTGGGTTTCCTTTTTGGCTTCTTTATGTTTCTTTCGAAGGGTGCACATGGTACCCTCAAACTGAGAAACGCATAGACTCTCGCCCCTGAGTGAAACCGATGGGGTCAGGGTTGAGCCTGGGCAAACCTTCCAGGTTTGAAAGTAAGCCCCGAGATTCTGAGATTGGTTGAACTGCGTTCCTTTACCCAAGCGCAAAGGGGTTATGTAGAATGGCGTACCGCAAAAAAACAGAGACCACGACAAGGGACTCACATCTCTTGTTCTTTTCTGGGCATTCTGGCGGGCAAAGGTAAACAGCTTCAAGTCATGGGCAAGTGACCCCCCATTTTGGATGGTCAACCCACCCAACTTGTGCAGACACTTATGTTGTCATTTCTGTCCGAAGCCAGCTGGGTAAAGTACTCTAATTCACTAACCTAGCAATACATAAGTCAAGGACCTTCTTAATGGGGTAATTGAGCCGCTCGTCTTGACTCCCTGAATCGGTGAGAACGAAGAGTCTTTTTGGTGAACCCAAGACGAAAAAAAGCAAAATGATCCACTCTTCGTGCTCGCGGTTTATCCCTTCTTCCCTCCCAAAGAAAATCAAACCACAAAAACAAAACAAAGCTGAAAAAAAGCTGGAGACCGTCAATAATTACATATATATGCGTATATATACACACATGCGTGTGAACGTATACATATATATATACCTGGAACCTCCGTCCGGCCAAAATTTCAGCCGCTTTGCGTTCAGCAAGAATTTCAGCCGCAAGCAGAAACAATCGCCGGCAGCTCTGAAAAACGCCGGCAGCCAGAAAAAACAGCCGCAAAGCCTGGTCTAGCACATCCTAAACTGCACCAAGCACTTGCTCCCACAATGCAAAACCAACTGGCATGTCTTTGATTTGCTCACAAACGCTGCTGAAAGTTATGAAGATGGACACTGGGCACGCAGCAACGACTCCACCCATCCAGAGAACAATGCGCAGGCCGGAAATGGCAAGCACTTGCACATCAATAGACGAGCTTTGACACGCTCGGTGCCCGCAACTACATAGCCAATTGCATGCATCATGATTTCTGCTGGCAATGCATTTGTGACCAGACGTGCTTTGCACAGTGATGCTAATAACAGCACGAATCGAAGGTAAGGAGATCAAGCGTCAAGCAGCGCAATCAAAGGCCCTGAGAACATCCACTCTTTGGACGCGTGTTTCCGCCGTAATCCCGCGTGTTTCCGCCGTAATCCCGCGTGTTTCCGCCGTAGCCCGAAACACCAACAAAATACAAAACCGTCTATTAAACCGTGCATGCAGGAGAAAAACTGATTCCTGTATTTTGGGGCAACCAGCCCCTTTGAAGCCAGAAGCAGTGGAGACAAAGAGGGCTGCGTACTCGCCACACGCATCGAACAAACATGGTTCATACACCCGGGCTGCGTCATGCCCTGATTGAAGAGATTGGCGGTAGGCATGCGCAGGTACTGCGGTGGCTGCAAGTTGCAAAAGGCTGCTTTGTGGCTGCATATATTGAATATAATGAGACAAATGGCGGTTTGCAGAATCAACGCTTGTCACATTGGCGCATGTGCATGGGTCAAAACAAAAGTTCTGGCAGCAATGCTCTTTAAGGCCGCGTGTGAGAAACGCCGCCGGAAAAGCAAAAACGCCGCGCGATTTTTGGGAGATCCCAATTTCCGCCGGCGGACGCAAAAAGGCGCCTTTTTGAGTCCGCGGCTGAAATTTTGGCCGGAAGGAGTTTCCAGGTATACATATATCACAGGACGCCGCAGCCAAGAGGCGCTCCCCCGCGCTCCTGGACTCCGCATCCACCGCCATCTCCACCTCCGCGGGCGGATCCGCGGCGCCCGCGGCGTCCGCGGCCTCGCGCCGGGCGGCGCGGTCGGAGGCGGAGAGGGCGAGGCGCTTCTGCTTGGCCGCCTTGGCCCGCGCCTTCACCTCGGCGGAGCGGAAGGGCTGTTGGGCCGGCGAAGTTGGACTCACTTGGTTCTGGGTCATCCAAATGAATGGACATCAAATGGTCAACCCTGGAAACCCCTGGTGAACATCAAAATGGCTGGCAAATGGATGTTCAGACCCCTGGTGAACCTCAAAATGGCTGGCAAATGGATGTTCATCCACCCCAAAGTGGAGCCATAGGTTATGCCCCATGGCCACTTCCGTGGATTGGCCGAGAAAAGTCATCAAGCCTTTTGGTGTACCCGTGACATAGTCCAAGCCCAGACAGCATCAAACTCATGAACCCGAGGAGGGAGTTAAACAGGACCAAACTCCCCACCTTTCTCCAAAGGAAGAGTCGAAATCTAACTGGTTGCTTCCTGGGGCATCCCTGAATACATTCCCAAGCTACCTCCTCAAAGGCTCAGGCGAATTGGGCTGGGATTCAACCCCTGGTCAGAATACCAGGGTTTACCATGGACAGTCAACCCGAATTTGTCCAATGGGAAGGGTCACCCCATTCAACCAGTCTAAAATCTAAAAGCTGCAAGTATCCCCTTCAAAATGGGAGACCGGTCACCCATCTGTTCTGATCAAACAGGGGGTTGTCAATCCTGGGTTTGACGAGGGTACCCCAAAATGGTGAGTTTCTTTTTGGGTTCCCTTTTAAAGACACGACAAGCCGGTGCCCAAAAAAACAAAAAACAAATCGAGGCCCATCAAGGCCTTCTTGCGCTTCTGCTCCACCTTGGCCTGGCCCTTGTTGTGAGTGGGCTTGCTCTTCGCCACCTTCGTCTTCTTCACGTACTTCCCCATCTCTCACAGACAGAGGCGGAAGAGGCGCTCGTCTATGCTCGGCAGATTCCCATGGGAGCTGTGCCGGGGCCAATTCGGGGCAAAGGAACGTGCCTGTTGCCTGTTTGCTTCTTCCCTGGGGTGGTGGCTTTTAGATGGGGTTGGAAAAATCACTTTTAGGACCTGGAAACCACAATAGACAAGGGAAAACATGAGGATGTCACTAAGATGGACCGAGTTTTCAAAAGCTGAGAGGGCTTGGGTAACAAAGTCTTCCTGTATCATTCCAGCTCCAAATACTAGCTCACGCAAAGGGGGGTTGGCTCCAAAGCAAGACTCGCATTCCTGAGAAATGGGCGTTTGTGTTGCTGTTATTCCGGTCTATTCTTGAAGAGGCCCACCTCTGTGAGCCAATATCCTACGGAGCTGCGCGGTGTCATATCAGGTAAGCAGGCTGTTCGGTACACTGGTTCTCAGCAAACAAGAAGTTGGAATCATAAATGAACCCTACGGACTATCCTTGTCGTGATTTGTTTGCTGGCCCAAATGCACTTATATAAGTGACGCTGCCTTCGGGAGTCTGCCCAAATGACACAGAAGCAAGAGGGCGGCTCGGGACATCTGCACAATGCTCTTGTCTCAACATGAAAAAAGGGCGGCAAGTCTTGGCTCAACGTCTGAAGGCGCGGGGGACTGCTCCGAGATGTTTTGTGCAGGCGTGTGTCTCGACATCAATGGCCCGGCTTCCCTTTGAAAAATCCTTCACAAACCGCCCGCATTGAATTGCTTTTCAAAACACCATGGGCTGTTGCCCAGTTGAATTCTCCTCCTCAGCTGCAATTCCCGTCAAGACTGGCCCTTTGGAATCAAACAACACTTGGGAGTTTCTCAACAATGGCGGACCTTCTTGTGGAATTCAAAGGACAACCATTTGGGGGGACCGGCACATGGGTATGTGGCGAGATACAGCAGACCTTTGGTTTCTCTTTGAACCAACCTGAACAGGCACCCCTCAAATATGACGGTTCCAATCAAAATCGGGCCTCAAGCGAGAAGGTTCAATCAACTGCCCCCTTTTGGCGCCCCCCCCAAAAAAAAGAAAGAAAGCCGACCGCAGGGAAAAAACCGAAACCGTCTCCCAAAAAGACACGAAGCCGAGCGCCACCCCGAGACCCCGGCGCCAATCGGAGCTCCCAGGGGGAGGCCTGGTGGATTCCTCCGGATGGCTTCGCCCCTTACCCCGACAGCGGGCACTGAGGGTTTTTGGTGAAAAAGATCTGCAGGTCCCGGCCCATGCTGGAGTTGGTGCTCCCTATCTTGGGTTGGCTTTGAAGGAAAACCAAGAGGAGAACCGGAAAAAACTGTTATTTTGGGGGGCCACTTAAACAGACAAAGCCACAGTGTTCAGACTTCCCTTCAATCTGCGCCTCCTCAAAAGGGCCTGGACCAAACCTGCAAAGGTTGGCTTAGCCTTGGAGAGCTGTGAAAAGACCCCAGTAAAGAAGGGATTCCAAATGTGGTTTGTAAGAGAAAGGTCACAGAATTTGGCAGCGAACCGATTTTGGTGCGCGAACCATTTCTGGTGATGTTCGTATGATTGGTTGTGTGACAGGCTGTTTAAGCAGGCGTCCTTGAGAGGTAATCAATCTTGTTTGGCCCTTGGCGAGTTGGAGGCAGTGGTTGACAGGGTTGGGCAATTGAGAGAACACCCAGAGTGACTTAGTCAAAGAAATCCTTCACTTGTCAAAGAAAGGGTTAACATCCCATAACCAAGGTTGGCGCCAGAGCTGAGCTAAGCAACCAGACCCTACCCCAAAGGGAAAACCCAAGATGGTTCGAACGAGTGTTTTGACGAGGGTTGAAACCCGTTGGCCCGACCCTGCGGTGAACCTGAGCCTACTGGAGTCATGGCTGAGTTACTTTTGCCTCTTTTCCATCACCGCCCCCCCCCAACAAGTACAAAAGGAACCAGCCGTCCATGAGCCAAAACTGCTTGGGGGCAGTGGGGGGGGTCTGTTTCCCGTTGGTGGCACTGGGCCTCCTTGTGGGCGGCACTTGGAGAGGTTGGCAGAGATGTGTTTGTGGACATGGGAAATTGAGTGTGTACGGCTGATATCTTGACCAAACCTCACATCGCACTAGCTACCTGTGCCTTGCAAGATTGGCATGCGACACCGACTGTGAAGCACACCAGCTGATACCCCAAGTCCCCCGCTAAAATCAAGATGGGAACCCCCCAAAAAAGCATCCCAAACTGCCCCGGAACCCCCTCCGGAACCCTCCAAACCCCCAACCAGAGCGCCTATCTGGGCCTATTCTCCCCACAGCTTTCAGCTGTTGGGTAAAACGGGGAAGTTCCCAAGGGAGATGCCTCTGGATCGAACTTTTTGGGGCGCCTTCAGCTGCGATCTGAGTTTCGACCCATCCGACCGCGCAGCCTGCAGCCAGGTTGGCAGACGCCAACAGCAGCCAAGCGGCCCAAGCCTCCGTAACGCGATCGGCCCGCGCCCTTGGCACCAACTTCCCCCCCCCCCCCAAGACAGCGGTGAGGACCCCAAATTTAGATGAATATTGGTTGTATCGTTGGAGCCCCAAAACGTCGGCTTCCTTTCTTGCTTCCAAAACTTTCCTGCAGCAAAATAGGAACCCTGACAAGGGTTACCTTTGTTTTCCAGTGAGAACTAGGTGGCACCCTTTCCCCGTGTATGGTGTTTACCCACAACGGTTCAGGCATCTGAAGTTACTTTGTCACGGCGCATAGGGGACCCCAAAAGATCGGTCTGCGCCGAGGCCGGACACTTGGCCCGCGGGCCATGGCAGGTACTGCAATGGAGGCGGAGGGGCCTTGAGCCCTTCGGGCAGCGGCAACCGGCGCGGCGCTGGAAACGGCCCCAGGGTCTGGGCTCGGAACCCATTTGCCACACTCAGTTCCTAAGGACCTGGAATAAAAGGTGATCATGACTAAAATGGGCCGAATGGGCCAATTTCGCGACCCAAAGGGTCAAAAGGTCGATTTGCTTTGGGCAAGTGAGTAAAGGAAAGCCAAGAGGAAAGCCAGCATTTTGGCTGACACATACATTGCATGGCCCGAGCTTGCGGGAACGTGAGTCCAGGATGCTTGGGGATCATCCGGAGTGCGGAATGTCTTGCGGCTAAGTACAACGTACCGGACGGTAGCGATGTGCTCAAGCTAAACTCAATCAATGGCTGAATAGTATGAATTCGTAACAGCCTTGGAAGCTCCCCTCCACAATCGGTTCAGCAGAGCCAGATTTAAATACAGGCAGTCACCTGGCCCGAGATCGAGCAATTTTCCACGGATTTCCCATGGCTTGCGAAGGATTCGGCTCTCGTCAAACTGCACAACTGCTTTGGCCTCTTCAAAAACCCTGCATCTCTCTCAAATCTCAAAAAGGAATGTCACGTGCATTTCGCAGACTGTGATGTATCTTTGCCAAGCTGTGACAGAGCGCCGATCCGGCTTTTGCTGTGGCAAATCACGCGTCTGTCTACTTTCGTCGATGCCTGACTACTTGGTAGTGCAGGACCTCTAGGAATGTTTGCTACTTTGGCAGTTACCAGAAGAGATAGGCGCGCCCGAAGTTAGGAAACTGGCACCTCCGAGATGGAACATGCTGCAATGCTCTCCTTCAAACCAACCAACCCGAAGTACACAAGAAACAAAAGAAGGAAACAAAAACACCCGTGCGCCATGTCAGCACCCCTTCAGCGGCGCGAAGCCGATTCGCTTCTTCTCCTTGTCAAAGACCGTGTAATAGGTCTGCCGGGATCGGGTGACGCCCCCCCCCAAGCAGTTCTCACGAGTTCGGCCCTGGCAACCGGCGGCAAAACAGGGAATTGTGTGTTTTCTTCTTTTTTTGGCGTCCCCTGGCAACCCCAAGCAGGGAACCCTCCAAACACTCAGACATCACCCCCTGCTTCATGGTGGCGCTTCTTTGCTTTTCCCCTGTCTGTTTGCAAGGCACCCTTTTTTGAGGTTGGACCTACAGAAAAAAGATATATCGATTTTCGGGGTCCGATTTCCATTTTGGGACACATCTGAACGGCAAATCCAGCTGACCTAACAGGAACCCCAAAGGAAAACCCGGAAATCCGTTTCCGGGGGTCCGAGTTCCGACCCCACCCCCCGCCTCCAGCAGCGGCTGGCCCAGGATGAAGCCCGGGATCTCGCCCAGGCCTCGGCTTGGAAGGAGTCCGGAAGGCTGGGTGTGACTCAAAACCTGAAGAGCCGGGGTTTAAGCAGAGATTGGCCCTCTTGGCTTCCATTTAGGGGCCATTGTTCGGTACCGGTTTGTTGAGCCAAGGCCAAATGAGACAATTTAAGGGTTCCCGCGGCTCGTTCATTCTTTGCAATTGGACCTCCCACCCATTTTGAAACACAGCGGGTGGTCTCGTGGGTCTGTTGGGTCTGATTTCTTAGCACAACAACAACATTTGGATATGAGTTTCAATTGGGGACCCTTTGCTTATTTAGCACAGCCGGGGCCGTGCGCAAAGAAGCAGACATATACTGTTGTGCGCATCGCTCCTCGGTCACACCTTGACCGCCTCAAAAGTGCCCTGAACCGCAAATGGAATCCCAGATTCACGAGCCCATCCTATTTGGGGGGCGTTCCCCTAGCGTGATGACCCCCGAATCAACCCTACTCATAGAAACCCCCCAAAGTGGACCATATCCTCACCAAAGAGTACCCCTGATTTGTACGGTCCGGATCAATCTGAACATTCCGCAGACACCAAGGCATCGCACCATACCACCCTGTCCGCCTCCGGGAATCGAGCCAGCGGCTTGTTTCTGCGGCCCCGGCCCGAGTTCAGCGTGTGGGAGGACCTGCGAGGAAAACAAAGGAGCCCAGGTGGAAACCGCTGACAAACCGAAATGTTCCCAAAGCACCAGGAAACAACATGAGGTTTCCAAGCACATTTCCGGGTTGTTTCGAGGTGTGAAGGCTGTCTTGCGAGAAACAAAAAAAGGACTGTGACTATGACTGTGACTGTGTCCGCGTGTGTGTTTGTGTGTATGTGTGTGTGTGTGGTCTGTGTGTGTGGTCTGTGTGTGTGTGGTCTGTGTGTGTGTGGTCTGTGTGTGCGTGCGTGCGTGTGTGTCTGTGTGTGTGTGTGTGTGTGTCAATTTGCTACTGGGGAGCAAAGCGCAGCCGTGTAAACAGGAGCTTTACATACAACTTGTGCAAGGTGCATGTGCTGCCCTAATCTCCTGCATGGCACCTGACAGGGGGTGACTTCAAGAGGAACTGGACCTTCCAGGTATCTCTGCTGCTATGTTGCTGTTTGGGCTCTGAGAGAGGGTGTATCAGTCATAACCTCACCTCCGAAGAAAGTTTGCTTGACAACGAAACTCACAATGGGTGTCTCTCAAAATGGATGCCTCCAAAGAGGCGTTCTTCTGGTTCGTAACCATATGGCTGGCCGAATTGGAAACAACACCATGTGACCCTGTGTTGAAACCAGTCGTCCCAACCATTGCAACAAGTGTGCTTCTTTGCAACCACCCCGTGGACAATGAACAGAACCAAAAAACAAGCAACTGACAAGCACGCCATTTTTCAAAGCGAGCTCCTCTTGGCTTCCCTGATTCATTCGTTGGAAACCAACGAGTCTGCATATGTATCCAAATGGGGAAGCGATACCCACAAGCAAGAGCCTCCCCGAAAGCAAGAAAAGAATCCAAAAGGCGGCTTTTGATCTCCCCACCTATTGGCCAAGGACTTGTCCCCTAACCTTCTACCTGAGTTTGAAAGACGAGCTGCGCGGCTCGACTGCACAAGTTCAAGTTTGCTAAGTGAGCGGCGCTCAAAACCCGGTGACTGTTGGTTCTACGCATATGGTGAAAACCAAAAAAGCATGAAACCAGTTTGAACCTATGCAAATGGCCCCTAGAGGTGTTGGGTCCTGATGAAAAACAACACCTAAATCTGGTCCTTCGACAAACAAAAAGGATCGTGGCTATGCAAAATGTACCTTCGCAGCCACCCCTGCAGGACAATAAACGACAACTGAAAGAGCACTGACAAATGCATACCGCCAGGCCGGTCCAAGGAAACAAGCGCCTGCGCACTCTGAGGAGCATGAACCCAAGATTTACATTTGTTACCTTGACATACCTGGCCCATGCAGCAGAGCTTCAACAAGAAGATCCGCGGAAGCCCACTGAAACTCACAACACCAATGACTCGCGGGTAACATTGTTCCCATGGTCGTCAAGGCCCCCTGAAAAGTGAGCCCACAATCCCAGATACACAGATTCTAAGGCGGCCGCTTTCAAGTCGTTCTTGGACATTTGGGTGTTTGTCCCAACCCGAAAAGAATCCAGGCAGTCCCCAAAAGAAGAAGAAAAAAAACACGTCACTGGCCGACCAAAGCGGCCTGAGGTAGAGGCTGCGGCAGGTAGCACCAGGATCTAGCCTCACATCGAGTCGATCTTTAAGCAATATGTGGCTTCCCTTTGAAGGGAATCGGGGTCTGGTAGGATCAAATCATGGACCAAGACACGTTTGTGCTCTTTGAGCAGGGATGCTTACATTATACACCTGAACATTGTCTTGTAAATGGTGGTTTCCCCTTGTTTTGGTGGAAAAGCCATGTTTCAAATGGTTGCAACACGTATCTTTTAAGGAGCCCTGTGAGGGTGGGGTGCTATCAAGAAAACTGCCTTCACCCTTGGAACCTTCGAAGGCACCAAAGGTCACCTTTGGGCCTTCTGGGAATCAAGGGACGGTTCACAAAGAGGTCGGCCCAAGAAACAAATGGGCGAACTTGGGATTTCGGTCCTTCTGGAACCCCCTTGGACCCAACCCCCGAAAAGTCGGCTTCATTTGGTTTAATATTGATAGCTTTGGAGCTCATCTGGGGGTGTCCCATCCAAGTCGCATGGCTTCACATCCAAATCCAAACCACCAACCAACTAGGGCCTTCCCGAAAACAGCGGGGTTACCCCTCAAACCGCGCCCGCGCGAAGCCAAACCCGTCGGGTTCTGATTTTTCACCCGTGCCGCGACCGCGCCGGGCTCGAGGCTGGAAGTACTGCTTGGCCGGGATGCGGAGCTCGATGGTCTCATCGGAGACCTCAGAGCTCCGCATGAAAGTTTTAAGCGCCGTTGGCACAACCCAAGCCCTCTGCCAGCACGCGCCTCCCATCTTTCTCCCATCTGATCTCAAAATCCCAAGGACTGCCCAAAGAGCAGCGGTTGGAGTGGTTGGGGGGTGCTGGCCGTTTTGGGGTTGCAACCAAATCAAAATATCAACACCCACTTCCCGGGCTTCCGCTTGAACAAGTCTACCCAAGACCAGTACGGAGCTAGACATCAGGACCGTCCCGCTCTTGCTGTCGGAAGGCCAGCATGTGACCCGCATTCTTGGGGCTTATGAAAGACCCAGACTCACCGCCACAAAATGTATGTTTGAGGCCCCCCAAATCGTTTGAGGCCCCGCAAATCACCAAATCCGGAGCCTCTGGGACACAAGAAGCCAACAACTTCTCATCTCATGCTGAGCGGCGGAATCCAAACGCACAATCATATCCGGGAAGTACTCCAGCTCAAGCCTCGCGAGCAAAGAGGGCTTGGTTTCAGCAGGGGTTCCAACATGTCCCTCTCCAACACCATCAACACGCTGCAAAGGGGAGCTTCCACGGTTCGCTTGCCAATAAAACGCCCTTGTGTTTATTCCAAGAGAAAAAATGCCTTTACTACAAACATTGGCTGAATCAGCTGGGGCAAACAGGGACAAAAGAGCAGCAGCAGGGTTCCAACAGTCCAACCTAACAACAAGGAAACTCACCAAATTAGACATGTTGCATGCCAAAGGGGAATATCCCCTGCTTAAGAATGCTTCTGTTCTTATGCCAAGCAAAAGCCGGCTTGGTGGTCCAAGGGTAGTCTTCGCATCCACCTGTTGCAACAACTTTACATGGATGGCTCTTCAACTCCAACTCCAAACCGCCAGCCGCAGCCGCCAAGACCCACTCCGATCCGCTCCGATCCGATATCCGACTCGACTCTCGAGGCTCGAGTGGCGCACTCCGAGAGGCAGGAGCTCCGGAGCCGCCGGGCGGAGGCCACCTGAACGAACCAAAGGTCCCAAAAGGCGCCGACGACGGCCGCGGCTGTGTGGCTTGGAGCTTTGGGCTTCAGGTCTGAGGTGTTGTTTTTGTTTTTGTTTTGTGTTTTTTGGGTGTTTGTTTTTTTTTGCGGCCCTCAAATGGGTTGGACCAGGAGGGGGGTCAATCCACCCACATTGAAAGTTGCGTGGCTCGTTGCTTTTTCAGGCTGAACCCCGACGAAATGGGGTACCCAAAAGGGGCACCCTCCAAAAAGACACACCCAGTAACTGTGTAACTAGTCGGCACCAGAGCAACAAACCCCAAAGGAAGGAACCGACACGCAAAACCGTGCCCCGCGTCATTTGCAGTGGTGCTCTTCGCCGTGTGCCAGACTGATCGGATCGACTCTGCCAAAATGAAAGCGTTGGCAGGTTGAGGAAAGTGGAGGAGAATGGGAACAAAGGCGAAAAGCGAAGTCCAAAAGCAGCGGAAAAGGCAATGAGTCACAGCTATGTCACAGCCTCCAAACCCTCGCGGGAGCGCGGCCCAACTCGGGAGCGATGGCTTCAAAACGCGGGAGGCCAACCACGGGAGCCAAAAGGTTCATCGGAAATCGCCTGGTTCAGCGCGTCCAGAACCTGCTCGTGCACATCCTTCGGCATGACGATCCTGGAGACATGAATTGCGGATTTGCTAAAGCTCCATGGTTGGTAAATGTGTCAAAAGTCGGGGGACCGGGGCCCAAATTTGTGGCTTGCAAAACTTTACCCTGCGCGCAATGGCAGAAGCCAACTGCGAGCTGTCTGACTAAGTTTCTCGTTTCAACCACACTGGCCGAGTATTCTCTTCAAAAAAATAACGCTAGGCGACTCCCACAAGCCCACAGCTTGGAAGCTTGCTTAAGACAACTCAATCAGTCACTGGACCTCAAACGACTTGCCAAGCTGCTCCACCTGGGCCCTTTCTAAACACGACCCGCAAGAAGCGTCAAGCTCGCCAACTACCCGAACCCTCAGCTCTACCCTGGAGTTGACCCCACAAGCTTGGGCCGCAACAACCCACTAGGTTGAAATTCTGTGGGCCCAACTAGACACCAACTTCGGGCCTTTCCAACGACCGGACCCCGCAAGAAACGCTTCCAGCCGAACTGCCAAACCGCCAAGAGTTCCTTCGGAGCCTTCGGATGCCTTTCTCGGGCCCCGCACGAGGAGGTGCCGCTGTCCACGATCCCGCTGCACCTGCCGTATCACAGACCACTTCCTCCACTATCTTGGCTTGAAGGCGCCCTTGGATGGCTTTAAAGGGAAACGAAGAGGGAAAAACACCATCTCTTTTTTTTTTTGGGGGGGGGTTCTCTATTTTCAGACACACCCGGTGGATTCGGGGGTCCTGGCGGAGGAAGTTGTGCGATGCATCAACCAGGGGGGTTGGACGTTCCGTTGAGATTTCACGGCTCAAAACCTCCAATCCAAACCAAGCCAAACGGACCCAACAAGGCAAGAGCTAACTGTACCTGAGCTTTTGGACAGCCGTGCAAGAACCCCCCCCCCCCTGGCACCATTACTTTTCAAGACGTGCGCCCGGGCTTCAACCATGACATGGTTGGATGAAAAACGTCTTGTTCTCTGCGAACACCTTATGTGAGCCACGGACCATATTCTTTGCCTAACAAGCATTGAACAGCAAACACCAAGTGTTGCCACGTCTCTTTTCCACATCTTGGGAGTCGTCCCATGTCCCCAACTGGACCGTAGACAAATGGGCGTGTCTGTTCTTGAGGACTTTGTGAGGCTACCTACGAAAATGGGCGGTTTCCCTTCCCTCTAAACCCCAGAAAAAGAGGCACCCTCAAAAAATGACACACCCAATCCCCCCCTTTAAACCCCCCCAAGAAAACGAGGCAGCCTCAAAAAAAAAGGAAAACACGCCCAAGCCAGGATTCCCTGCATGGTCCGGCCTGCTCGAAAGCGACCTTCGCCGCGAGAAGATGTTCTTGAACCAGTCTCCGATGTCTCAGTCGCTTCCATCCGAAAACGGGGGCGTGGCTCTTTCAAGGCCCACGCAACATGTGGCTGTGGCTCAAAATTCAAGAGCTAGGGTTACGCGGTTTTAGTCTTTTGTTCCATTTACCAGGGTGCCATTTTGGTAGCACTTTTTTGAGCCACAGCCATGTGTGCTGACTGGTGGCTTTGTCTTTAAAAGCAATCGTTCTGAGAAAGTTTGCGAGAAACGGGGGGGGGCATAAATAGACGCTGAGCCATCGCCAAACTCCACATGGGTGATGGAACACCTTTACGTTGACGCTCTAAATCCTCTGCCGCGCGGTTGATGACCACCCCTCCAAACGCAACAAATGACAACGGCACATTTAGAAAGCCCTTTTTCTTGATATGTTTCCTTGAGGGCGCCGTGCCGGACCGACCAGTTTTGACGGGACTCCATGCCCGGGTTCAAGACTGGAGCCGCCGAGGTCGGCACTCCACTCCTGCTTCCGGTCCTCGGTTTCAACCGCCAACCCGCGAGTCCGCCAACCCGCGCGAGCCGCGCGTCGCTCGCGAGGCAGGCACTGGATGCACACTCGGGCTGAATGGGCGCGACTCGTTGACCTCGGAGAAGTCGCGGCCTTTTCTTCCCAAAAAAGGAAGGGCGGCAACATGGCGGTGGCTTCCCTTTCGCCTCCATTTGTTCAACTGCCACGGAAAAGGCCGAAACTTCTACAGAACCACTTGCAATTCTGAGAGGCCCACAGTGCGGTTGCCAGAGGCGAGGAGAGAAGGCGATTCTCTGCACTTCCCCAAGTGGTTGCACTTCCCCGCCTGCCATTCGCGCACATTGCAACGCCTTCCCCATGATCCAACCCCCTGCCCATGAGCCAAACCCTCACCTAAGTGCGCTGGTTGCCTCCACTTGGCCTCATTAAGACCAAAGACTTTTCGGCCTTCTGAAGGCCTTGAGGATGTGAGCCTTGTGTCTTCTGAGGGGTCCTACGACTCCGAAGGCACCACGTCACCTCGCAGCGGCAGGTCAGGGACTCCGTGTCGCACACGGACTCCTGGCGAGCGAGAAAAAGCGGGGGGCGCTGTGGAGCGGTGCGGACCCAGCGGTCTGACGTCCAAACCTCAGCCAAGGTCAGCTGACCTGTGCTTTTCTTTTTACTCGTTGCCAGACAAATTGCGGAACAAATCCGGGGATGTGCGCTTTGGTGTCTCTCATCGGGCTTAACTCAATCTTTGCCCTGGGCGTTGCAATCTCTTCGTTTGAGGTGTGTCCTTTTCTGAGGGTACCCTTTTGGGCTGATTATCAAAGGGAAACAGAAGGCTAATTAAGACCGCCAAGCTTTTGAGCGTCCCCCATCTTGAGACAGCTCCATTCGGTCCCAGGCCGTGGCCTTGCGGAGATCCTTCAGGTTGCTCTTTTCGGGCCCTGAAAGGCCGCTTTCCGCGGCATCCTCAGCTTCCCCATGCTTCCAGCCCAACATGTTCCTCAGCTTCCCATCCCATTTCCGTGCCCCATCCCCATTTCTCCATTTCTCCACCAAAAGGGAAAGCTCCAGAAAGGCGATCGATCGGATTAAAACCCCGCCTCGCAATCTGCCAGGATGCAGCTGCCTAGGGTTTATTGCCAGAGAGTCGATGGGGTGGTAGGCAGTGCCAGCTGGATTTCAAGTTGATAACACGTCTTTGTGTCTTGGACTAGGGGAACCCCAACTCGGTGGCTTCCCTTTTCGCTTTCCCTGTGAGACGACCCCAAGAGGGATACTCTCGAAGGGAAAAACACGCCGACATAGCCTGGCCAGATTTGGCATTCTTGTTGCCCATGTGCAACTCGCCTTTGGCTACCCGCCGAACCAGTGGTTTCCCTCTCATTTCCCTTCAACAGCAACCCCACAAAGGTTCCCTCAAGCGAAACTTTCGGGGGCGAGCAAACCAACTCATACTATGCGTCACGGTCAAACCCTTGGAATCAAGCAGGCAAAGAATCAGGGGGGGTGCTGCTTCAAGAAGCAAACGCAGCTGCTTAGGTTTTGGCTCCGGAATCTAGCAGCACACCCAATTTAGCTCCAAGCGAACCCCAAACTCACCCAAAGCCAGCCTTCACCCCACCCAACAGCAGCCTGGATGTCAGCCTTTTTGCTGAGCCTAGATCAACCCCACACCAACCCTAGACCAACCCTCAGTAAGATCTAAGCCAGCCTAAAACCACCGCCCCGCCGAATCAGAGCCAATAGGCAACCCGAGTTAAGTGAGGCTGTTGATGCCGTGGATGCGGCCCACCAACCAACCAACTATCCGACCGACCGACCAACCAACCAACCAACCAACCAACGGACCGACCGACCAACCAACTAGCTGGCCAGGGAACCAGACCTGAAAAGAAACCAGCCCTAGGAAAACAACAACACCTCATCCATCAAAGGTGAACCATGCAAAAGAAGTGGGACACCCCTTTAATGGCAAACTAAATCGCTTTAGAGGAGAATTCCCTGCTTGATGTCGGCTGAAAATCCGAATCCAACTCCGGCGTGAAAGTGGGTGGTTCAATTTCCTTCCTGTGTGATGTAACCCCAAACTGGGGAAATTGTGACAACTGGTCCATTCACCCTTCTGCCAACATACAAGTGCCTCTTACCGAGCTTTCCGTCTATTTGAGGCAGCTAATCGTTGTGCCACACACACACACACCCAAAAACAAACAAAAAAACAAACAGACAAACAAAACTGACAAACCAACAAGACAACGAAGACCACTTCCACGCCCACAGCAAGTAGACTCTTCACATTCGCTCAGGCCCCGGCCAAGCGGCTCCGAGCATGAAGCCTCGCGAAAGGGAAGGGTCGGGCGGAAAAAACGAGAAACCCCAAGAGGTGTGTCTGATATGTGAAAACGAAGATATGGCTGTGGGTCAAAATAGGGTAACCCCCATGGAACCTTAGCAAATGGAAACACGGACCAAAACCTGCGGTCCAATTCCTGGTTTCATTTTGACCCACACCCATATGCGTGTAAATAATATAGGGTAAAGCTGACATACCTGATTTCCATAGTGCATATACTACATGTGTGTACAAGAATGTACCGTAAAGCTGACACACCCGATGTTCCCTCAGCCTCAACACGTGTTCGTTACCTCCCACCTGGTTCTGTGCGCAGCGCCCAAGTGCAAAATGAGTGGAGAGGGAGAGTTCCTGTGCACCAAACCATGGTTGTTGCGAAGGAGACCGTCCTTTCCTTAGCGGCTAAAGGACGGACCTAAAACCACCAACGGTTTGACTCTAGAAAATGATCAGTCACATTTTTTCTATGTGGCATTCTGCATGTCCGGATTTGGACTCGCCAATTCCACCCCGGCACCTTTCCCTCCAGAACCATCTTCAAAGGAGATTGTCTGCCATCCAAAAACCTCTGTCCCTTCAAGCCCATCCCAAAAAGATCCTTTTCCCTCTCCTTCCAACCCCGCCCTCCCGCCAACCCCGCCCTCCGGCCAACCCCGGGCGCGCCCCTTTCGCGTTTTTCCGCGCCGTGCACCAGGCGACGGCCCGGCACTGTGCCTCAAGCCGAGCCACAGATTGGAGTTGGCGATTTGGCGGCGAGCGGCCAGGACCACTGAGCGGGGGCCACAACCCACTGGTTTCACTCAAAATGGGCTTGACTTGTCACGGGGGAAACGTGCTGAAAATGGGCTTGACTCATGGTTTCACCTTGCCCGTTGCTTTAAGCTCGCTTACTTTTTTCACAACTAGAAAGATTCAGCATATGCTCCATGCCACATAGATGCCCCCTTTGATCCTATACTTAGAAGCCCTTCCCCTTCAAAACACGAACTCAGCTTGGTTGGACCAACCGCATGACTCACAAGGAAGCGACTCGCTGAAATCCGAGGCGCGCTTGACGGTGGAGCCCAGCAGTCTGGACATGTGCCCTGCGCGCCAATTCCTCCGATGCCCCCGCTGCCGCGGACTCCTGGGGCTTGAGACACGAAGCGACCGCCATGTGGAAAGGTGTTCGGTTTGGGGGTCTGAGTGAAAATCAGCAAAGATCTGAAATGGGAATTCAGAGTTCAAAGGATAGAAAACTTGGCATCGCGGTAGATCATCGTGCTTCGTGATCGCAAAAGGCACCCAAATTTGCAGGCTCTCCAAAAGCGATGGAGACTTGGCGCAAGGAACCGCCAAGAAGATCGCTAGGAGTCTACCCAAAAATAGGGTACCTGGAAAATGTCTGGTTTACCATGTGGCCGCTTTGTCCATTTTGTCGACCCGACAGGGGCTCCCCAAGGCGCGCCAGATGGGTATGGGCCAATTTTTTTTCACCAGGAATTGGACCACAGGTCTTCATTGTTTCCATTTTCCAGGGTGTTTTTTGCCATTTTGGGGGTGAGCAACTAGTCTTGACCACAGCCACATAGACCCAGCGCACATTCGCGGCTCGGCGTTCAAAAGCCGAGAGGCAGCGTGAGGTGAGGCCTCGTGGGCACCTGATGCCACGGGAGGCTGCATGTTGAACCCGGATCTAAGTAGAACCTGTCCTTAGTTAGGGGGATAATTTATAACACCCCCTAGCCAAATCAACCCTAGGATCAGCAACACTTTCAGGGGTATTCTTCGGAAGGAAAGGGAGGACTATCCACGTATGGCCCGCCAACCACGGAATACAGGCCCACAACGCACAGAATCCCCAGTTTTGCGGAAAGCCTGCTCATAGACGACCAGCAATTTCGCCAGCTATCTCGTGGCTAACCAACTCTCTGGGGTTCACTGATAGGTCCAGATCCAATATGAATTTTCAATATTGCCAGCCAGATCAAGAAACACTTGCGAATCCTATTGGGGCGGTGTCATCAAAAGGATCCGGACCCCAAAGCGTCACCTTCACTCCACTTGGGGTTCCAATCCAACTCGCCAATCCAATTCGGAGACAACGCGTTCCCCGAGCAGGGATCCTTCTCTACACCTGAACATGGAAATGGTGTTGTTTCAATCCCTTATTTTGGTGTTGAAAAAGCAAGATCTTTGAACTGAGTCACACTCGAACCTGGAAAACGGAGATCCGCAGCTATTTATGGCTGGGATTGTCCCTCATCCTTCATCTACCCGGGTTTTGATTGTGGCTCAAATGGTTGCAAAGTCATTTTTTGGCGGAAGACGCCATTTGTCCAATGGTTGCAAAATCTTATCTTTCAAGCCCCGAGGTGTCCCGCTCCGGGAAAAAAATCCATCGGGACGGCCTGCCACTGCGCGCCCCGGGCTGCGAGCTGCGGCGAGTGGATGCGAAGACCTGCGGCCGCGAAACGGCGCGCTTCCCCCGGCTCAACGGTGCCCTTCTCCCGGGGTTGCGCAGGGTTTTTCGTCTTTGGCTCCGTCTCCCAAGGTGCCATTTTGGAAATTACATGTATTTGAGCTCAGCCATGTGCCAACACAAACTGGGCTGTCGGTGTCCCTTTTTAACCAACCTGAAAGGAACCGAGACTCACAAAAGGCTCACAACACACAAGCACATGTATGCACACACGCGTGGAGGTTTTGGCAACATGGAACCTTGCTTTCAGAAACCTCCACAGTATGCGTGCATGCGTGTGTGCGCGAGGGGATAGCCGAACTGTCAGCCACCCGAAGAAAACACAAGACATGCATGGTGCCAACCTGGCATACCAACCCGAAAATGGTGCTGTATTGATGCCCCATTTGCTTCAAGGGAGAAAATGAGACCACCCAAACTTGAGGTTTCGTGCTTAGGACACCCATTTCTGCGCATTGTTGTGTTGATTGACACATGGGGCAGCTGGGGGGCGGGGTAATGATGTTGCAAAAGGGAATCTAAAAGGAAACCACCTACCTTGCTGGACTTTCTTTTTGGAAGGAAGACCGCCATAAAGTGACCATGTGGGAAACCCCACAAAACATCACCGCCAATTGGGGGCCGTCTTTTTGTGAGGTGAAGGCTACCCTTCTGGAGTTGCCGGGTTTTCCCAGGAGGGTGATACCCGATTTTAAGACGCCCCCAACTTTCCACCATGTCACCGCCCTCTGCATCGCCAAGGGGCTCTGAACCTCGGGCGGCCTCGAATTCTCTCTGAATCCGCAAATGGACGGGGAAAGCCAAAGGCGTGTTTTCCATTGGCGAATTTATGTCCACTGGAAACCAAATGGAAGCTGTGATGTTGACCCCGCTGAGTACGTGTCAAAATAGCAACCCCCCCATTTAGTGCTTACTAAGGGCTCAACACTACCATGCGAACAAAAACGACTCTTTGCCATGGAACAGCCCAAGTGCCAAAGTCTAAGTCTGCCAATGCTTCTTTGGCAATCCAGAAGTGAGTAACAAAACAACATCTGGCTCTTGGTTCCCATGCTTGCTTCCACTCATCCAAGTGAAGGGGGAATGCCATAAATCGGCTCGGCAAGAGCCGCCCTTTTGGGTATGTCCGCAGATTTGGATGGCTGCTTTTAACGGGTTGAGACCAAAAAGTCCGAAGCAATGGATGCCAGTGAACGGGACCCAACCACGATAGGTTCTAAAATGGGTGCACCTTACCCCGAAATGGAATCCCATTGGCGTTGACCGGCCATGTGTCAGGCCAGCAAACAGCTTGTGCCCTCACTTCTTGCAGCTGAACGGTGATCAAACTCAAGTCTTGGGATTAACAAGACCCCATTTCCCGGTAGAACATCTGTCAAGGGTTGTCCTTTGGTTCGAGTGACATGTCCAGTTGGGTGATTCCGAGATAGCCTTCTTTTGGATCATTTACCTGTGCGTGTAATTCACGTATGCGCCAGCATAGGACAAGGACACATGTAATACCAAAACCACCACCTGATGGGTAAAACGGAGTTGTGGAACCTTTCCATGATGGTCATAGTGGTACCAAGCTCCTTTGAAATGCAGGCAGTGGTTTGGGGGTGAAAGCCATCTCAGACGGCACTGCAAAACGGCATGCTTCATTCGTGGAGGGATGCGTCCTATGTCCAAGAAAAGCCCAAAAAAAAACACCCACAGAACAAAACAAATCACAGCTCTTGAAGAGGAAACCCGAGCGATGATCTCTATTCTCATCCTTAGAAAGACCCAAAGAGCAGCACGGAGTCTCTGAGTCTCTGAGTCCGGGTCTGAGATTCAGCTCTGGGCTTCACCTGTCAACCGCTGTGGCCACTGAACCTCTCCCATGGATGGGGTTGAAACATCATCTCCGCCAGTAAAGTAAACCAGAAATCGGGTTGGACAAGAGGCCCATTCATCTTGCTCTCTTATGACAGTAAGCCGAGGGTTTGCGTCTGGAGGTGAAGGGCCTGCCTCGAGGTCCAGAGATGTGCACCGCGCCTCGATCTCTGCACCTCGGGAAGTCTCAAGATCAACCTCGCGGCTTTGCTGTTGCGAAGGAGAAAACAGACAATGAACCCACTCTGGATTGCTTCCAGAACACTCCGGCTACGTACCTTGCTTGGCAGACTACTTCTCAGTGTGTAATCCTGTGTAGAAACATCCGAGGTTACCAATCAAAGTCCCACCAAACATGCGACTCCGCAAAGGGGACCCCACCCTTTGCTTGTCTCTGAGAGTGGGACGAGGACACGCAGGTCTTGGCAGGCCTTAATGAGCCCACATTTGAGCATGTGTGTCTCTTTTTTGGTGGCTTGGTAGCCTCTTCGGGGTTGGTTTAATGGGAAACCATTTTTGGGGTCCCCCATTGTAATTCACGCCCCTTTGTCCAAGTAGGACCCCAAAAAAAAGGTGGTTGTCCTCTTGGTTTTACACCAACCTGAACAGGATACTCCCCAAAAAAACATGAGCCACACCCGCATATGTGCGTGCAACGGTCAACATACCCTTGTGCCTTACCCGGCAATGAATCCTTTAGCAGGGGTGTTAGACCACCCATGTACAATATGGTTCTTATTACGAAAGCCATGACCATGACCGACACAAGGTGTTTTGTCCGTGGTCTAACAACCCTAAAATCAATCCTCCAGTTTGAGACCCTAGCCTTGCGCTGCAAAATGAGCCGCCCGCTGGCTCCGGCTGACGGCTCTCGCTCTATGTCCGTCTCCTCAAACCAGTCCTGTCGGGTCAAAAAGCGTTCAACACGGTACTTGTTTGATCAACCCTTGTCATGAGCAACTTACAGCAACTTGGCCTCCATGTCATCTTCTTCTTCCAGCAGCGACATTTCTTCCTCAGCTGACTCATCCAACCTGCACCTCTTGCAAGTTCAATATGGTCGGGGCATAAATGGCATAAAGCTAAAGGCTCCATGGCCCAATGGGCACCCCGGCCGGGGGATTCTTTGGTCGGATTAAGAGAACGCAGCCACCAGTCCCAAAATGGATTTCGGCTTTTCTCTCAGGCTTCCACACCAAAAACAACGGGGCCAGCTGCAGAGAAAGCGATGCTGGAAAGCATTCCTTTCTGGCTTCCCTTGACAAGCAGAAAAACACCAGAAAGACCAGAAAGACCAGAAAGACCAGCTGCCCAGTCAGTCCGAGGAGCCGGGGTGCACATGGACATCCTCGGGCCAGTCCGAGCTGGGTAGTCCCAACGGATCAGAAACGCCCCGAACTCGAGCTTCCGCCTGCGTCTACGGTGGCTATGCGGCTTGGCTCAGATCCGTATTCTTCTTTGAGGCGCACGGTACCCTCTTTGGGAGTTGAAGTGGTGGTTACCTAAGGCAAACCGAAATCCAGTTGTGTCTAATGAAGCGTCCGATCCCAGTTTGCCTTTTTGGATGGAGTCTGAAAATGGCTTGGGAAATCAAAATGGGACCTTCCTGTGGATTTAATGAGAAGGATTCAGGGAGAACTTCGTATGAGACTGAACTCCAATTGGGGGACAACTTTCGGTATGGTCGCAAAACAGAAACTTCAAACAGGAAAGCAACTGAACACCTGCCAACGGCAGTGAATGAAACCCTCCCCGATTTCTTCTCTTTGTTCGTATCCGAATTCGATGCAAGTGCCTCACCACGCCAGTGTGCCACTCCCAGCTGTAGAGAGCTTCGACCCTGGCGCCCACGGAGTAGTCCCGGAAGATGCCCTTCAGGTCCTGCGCTTTGAGGAAGGCTTTCACCAAACCCAAAGCCTTGGTGGCCCGAGCCTTGGTCGCTTTTTGCGGCCTCCTCAAAAATTGAACAGGACCAAAAGAAGAAGAAAAAAAACGAAAGACATGCCAACAACAGGATTCAATCACATAAAAGAATGGCGGCTACGTGATTGCTTGAATGGTGAATTCAATTGCAGGGTTTAGATTCCTTTCCCTTTCAATTGGATTACTCCCCTGCCAATTTCACGGAAGGAACCCACAACACTTTCTGTCTGATCAGTGCCGGAAACCAATTTTGACGTTTGGTGCCAACATGCTTGTAAAGGTTCTGCAGCCCTTATAGCTTCATGAGCATGTTGATATCGGGGCTGACTCATGGTTTGGGGTTGCTTAAAGGGAAGCCAAAAGGAAGACCACCATTTTGGGTCCCCCCAATTTCGACACACTATCTCACGGGAACACCATCCTCGCTTGTCCCTTACAAGCCCCTTCATACAGAGGAGTCCAGACCTTGGACCTGTGCCCAAGATTTAAGAGGGTTTCCACAAAGCGAACAAGTGGCGCAGGTGGCACGACCTTCATATTGCGGCAAGTGGTGATACAAGAGTGAAAAAACCAGGGGGTTGCAGGTGGTCTGGGGGTAGAAAGCCCTCTTCTGGCGGCCAAGCTGAAGTCGAGCGTCCTCTGATCGAAACCTCAGCCCCTGGCAGGTGCCCTCTCGCTGCACTTGGAAGGTTCCTCGGCGAGTGGCGGCATTCTCGATCGGAAAGTCGGCCTTCTGGCCCTCTGGGAACGACGTTCCACGGTGTCCCTGTAGTTGTCGGGAGTCAAAAGTCAAAGCCTGGTAGAGGCTTACCACAAGGTGATTGGGGCAGCATAGGCCCTTTGGAGTGGTGCATAACCTCCGCCCCAAAGAACCCACCTGGAAACTCCCCGGAAAGAAATCCTCTTCACCCGGTCACCTGGGCACCTCCAGGAAACCATTGCCACTTTCAGTCAGGCCCAGTTAGATCGTTGCTTAATTTTCCAATCAAGTAAAGGCGGGTTCAAAGCTCCAGGGCCTCTGGAGAAACCAAAACCGAAGTGGACACCTCCCAAGTGGCCGTCTTCGTTGACTTCGCCCACGACGCCGGTCACGATCTCCTGGGTCCGTTCGGCAAACCCGAGCAGGCGAAAGGGGAGAACGGAACCTCTGAAGCACGATTGGTGGCCGAACACCAAGTTGTGGGTCAAAAATAGGGTAACCCCGAAATGGCTCGCCCTGGTAAATGGAAACTTGGACTAAAACCTGCGGTTTTTATGGGGGTTCAATTTTGACCCATACCCAAACGAGCACGAGGTTCCCGTAAAAAAAACCTGGAGGCGAACCGAGCTTCTCCACTGGGGCATCGTGCATCCACGCGATCACCGACCTGGTAGTCCGCGAAGGGCCGCAGGTGTTTCCTTCGGCCAAGAGATCGACTTTGAGCCCTTTGCCCAAGGCTGAAACGTCCATATTGTATGAACCCATGGTATGAATCCCTAGTTTGAAGGCTAACTATGGGAAAACAGTCCCCCAAAGGGTCCAAACTGGCTCATATATGAACCTATACAATCAGCCTTTGACCTTCAGAAGTCTCATTTGATGGGTGGCTCGTTTCTTTTTTTGGAGTTGGCACCCATTGTTTGTGGGTTCGAAGGGAAACCGAAAGGAAAAACAAAATCTATGTTGGGGGTCCGGTTCCCAAACAAAAAACACACAGACGAGTTTTCCCTTCAAGGCTGGCTTTCCATGTAACCGTTTGGTTGCCAAGTTAAGGTCCCTGCTGTTTCGGGGACACATGGGTAACCCTCTTAGATGGGCTATGGTCCAGCAGTGTCTTGATAAGAGCTCCTGAGCGAAGCTTTGTGGAATTGGGTGCTTCTTCTTTGGAGCCAACGTAAAAAAAGGGTCCAAGCAGACATGCCCATTTAGGTTGCCAATTCAAACCATGTCAACTTGTGCACCTCTATCCAAACATGGAACAACACAAATGAAACTCCCACGGGTTGATTTCAAAATTCCCCCTCCCAATCAGCCCATTTGATTGTGCCTCTTTTTAGGGGACGGGCACCAAATCCAAAAAAAAGCACACGCATTTACTAATGCACCGAGACTCATGTACCTCGGTCGGCAAAGGCTGAACTTTGGGCCACCATCAGGGTCGTCCCAGCGAACCACATAGGCTCCATTCCGCGAATCCTCGAAGTGTGCAACACTGTTTGGGGAAAACAGAACCCCCAAACAATGATGATAGCTAATTAACAATTATGGTAATAATGAAAAGAGAGCCCCTTGAAACGTTCACTTCAATCGAAAATCCCGTTTCGGACTGGTCAAAAAGACAACCCCACCCCAAGCCATCCTGCACCACCCCGGAGTACCAGGTCAGGTCATCAGAATACAATGCCTCCACCGAATCTCCCGCGGCATAATCATCCTCGATCTCCACCAGCCTCGATGCTCGGGCTGGAAAGAGACACGAACGGCTCCGAGCCCCCGAAAAAAAAAATCGAGCCAGGAGCTAGATGGGCTTGTTTCCCTGCTTAAAGAGGAAAAAATGCGTTTCAACCTCTTGGTTCTCAGGGGTCCTGAGGTTGAAGAGTCATAAATCCTTCTAAACTCCCAACATCTTGTGGGGTCTGGCATGGCTTGGAACAGCCAAGAGGGTTTTGGAGATTTTCCAACTCAATCAACATCAAACAGAAGCTGATGTTTAAGCCACCCTAAAAGGGGCCAAAAGAAAATTACTGCGTCGATAAGGAATATGCAAAAAGGAAAGGTTCCCTCAGAAACTTCCTTGCCCGCCCACAGAAAATGGGTGTGGCTGTGCCTCAAATAGTTGGAACTCTTGTTTGGGGTGACCTTTTGAGGGAATCCAAAAAGAGACGAAGAGTTGGAATTTGGAAGCGCCCCTCGTGTTGCGTATCTTTTGAAGCGAATCCGAAGGAGAACAAAACAAACCCACAAGGATACCTGAACATGCTGCCCACAGAGAACTCCGTACCTGTCCCTTTTACACATTGCCCTAAAATTGGCCCGGGCGATGCTTAAAAGATAAAAAGGACGGACAATCACGATTCCTTTGGCTTCCCTTAAGAAACCAACCATACAAACATGTAATCAAGTCGAAAATTCAATCCTCCGAAACCTGCAAGAAGGAACACTCAAACCTCGCAACCTGTTTTTTACCGATTTCCCTTGAAGCATCCACAAAAGGCGCAGAGTTAGTTGCCCCACTCATTTATGGCTGCGGGTCCAAAAAGTCTGTATATGAAGGACACATGGCTGTTGCTCAAAAAACCGGTACCAAAATGGCTTGCCCTGGCAAGTGGAAACATCGACCAAGACCTGCGGTTGGCCCCTCCTGTTTCATTTTGAGCCACCCACATGGACCAAACCCCGCGGCTGTTCTGCCGGAAGGCCGCAGCTCCTCCGCGCAGAGCCTCGACACCTCTGGGCCCCCGTCCGGATCATCCCACCGCACCTCGAAGCGGTCGCGCCCGAGGTCCTGGGGATGAGACTTGGGGGGTCCCCAGGACGCGTCTGTTCGGCTTCCCTCCAAAGGAAAGACATGGCCCATGGGTCAAAACCCAACAGCCCGTACCAGTGAACATCCCAATCCAACCACTAGGTTCTAAAATGGGTGGTGCACCGGTGCACCTACCCAATATGGTACCATTGGTGTTGACCCACGGCCACATGAAGCCACCGGGCTTTTGGAAATCCACAGCTGGCAAACGGGAGAAGCTCCCTGTAACAAAGCTTTCGGAGAAAAGGAAGCCCTGAAGCAGTCCCACCATGGATTCCGTGCAACATCAACCCAGCCCTCCAATCAGTCCTGCAGGACGGTGGCGTTGTACCACTCGTAGGTGTCTTCGAAGAAAGCCATGACCAAATCTCCTCCGACCAAGGGTCACAAGGCCCCAACCATCTGTCCAATGGGTGGCTCGTCTCTTGATTTCCGAGTCACAATCAAAACCTGGTATGAAGAATAGATGCAGCCGCCTGGCAGCCGCCTTTAGTAATTCTGTACATGGTCTTGGCTGGACCATTCTGGTTGGGACTGTCCCTAACCAGGGTTGTTGATTGGCTCTTTCGGTTGGTTAATCGCCATCTCTTGGGGTTCCCATTGTTTGTCCAGCATCCAACCTGAAGAATTGGGGCGTCGTTTTTGAGGGTACCCCCATTTTTAGTAGTTTTGAACATCCCACTCTTGTGTTCGTTTGGGTTATTGGGGGAAACAAGCCTAAGAAACACACATCACCTTGTGTCTTAGGTCCCTTGTCCTGGCTTGTAGGACAGCCGGATGCGTCGCAGGTCTTCTTCTTCGCAGTTGGAGAGGTCAGGCCAGCCATCCGGGTCGTCCCAGCGGACCTGAAACGTGCCGTTGCCAAAGTCCTCTCGAAAACATCCGAAGTCCGAAATGCGCATGGCTTCACAAACCCACCAGCTGGCTCTGACCTTTGGGGTGGCGAAAAAACGAAAAATGAACCTGCACATGGTGGTTCTTCCCTGGGTACCTAGGGCAGCAAGACTCGGGGGGCGATAAAGAACAACTCATGCATTGCATGAGTACATCTCCCTGGTTGGTTTGCCATGGTTTTGCTTTACCAAACTAAATCAACCAGTTGGGTGGCTTCCAGTGGAGTTTCCTTTGACGCAACACCAAAATGGTGGCTGCCTTGAACATGGATCGTGTCCTTTCGCGCAGGAAAGGCTAGGAACTTGGAGCCGAAACGCTGAGCTCCGCCAGAAAAAGCTCAGACGTGGCCCTGTCAAGGAACCTAAAAACGAAAAGTTTACAGTTTGGAAGCTGAGCAGGAACGGCTTTTCGGTTTTCCCGGATTTGGATGCGTGGTTTGTGGTTTCCTGAGTTTTCCCAGGTTGGTGCAGGGTATCCACGCATGCAAACCGTTGCGTCTTGAGAATCAGCCAGTCACAAGGCCCTATCAAAGGAACTCAGCTATCCCTCACTGGTAAACTCGGGAAGTGATTTCATGAATGTTTCCGTTGTGCCAAGTTGGGGACGCCTCCCGCTTGCTTTCCTTTGCGCCAACTTCTGAAACCATAAACCCAAACCCACCGATTCAGTGGAAGCCGCAAACAACCGCTCGGAATGCTTGCTTATTATATATATATATATATTTGCTCGGGTTAGGTGTTTTTTGCTTTTCTTTTTCCGGGTCCTTGGCGATGGTGGCCGGGTACCACTTGAGATCTTCTTCCCAAAGCGCTTCCACCCTCGCGCCACCCAGGGCCACGAAGGTCTTTCCGCGCCTCGCCGGGGGTCTTTCGCGTGGCCGGCGCCGTTGGCTTGGCAGCGGGAGAAAAACGTAGACCCGTCCAAACCAACGTGAGCAAGCTTCAAGAAGGAAACCACAAATGTGAGGAAAATGTCCCTGGTTCATTCTGTTCAACCATCCTTCTCTCTTGAACCAGGCGAAAATACAAAAGGCGCAATGACTTTAAAGACCCGATTTTCTTCGGATTGCTTGCAGAAGTGCGCTCGACTCTCGGCCCCCGCATCGCGAAACCAGGGCTGAGCAAAAGTTGTAGAAACAAACCACCCCTGACCCCCCTTTCAAGAGAAACCCCAAAGGAGGTTGTTTAGAGACTCGGGGTGAAGAAAAAAACAACTGTCATGTGTTAGGGCTTTGCAATATTGATCCAACCTCAAGCTAGAGGGTGCCCAGGCAACTGGAACACTCTCAACGCTCAGCCCTTCTGACAACGTCGTAGAAGCGTTTGCCCCCACTGAAACCAGGCAGTACCACCCAACTAAAACTGGATTTTGTGGTTTTCGAGCAGCCAAACGAAGAGCTCCCGCGAACAAAAATGGCAAATTGAAGCCCTGTGGATGGACAGGTGTGCAGTGTTTAGGAGAAAATCCATGCCACTGAAAACTACCTCTCTTGTGGCTTCTTTGGCAAATTTGCTACAAGTATGGTTATTGTGCCAAACTTGCGCATTCCCCTACAGGCGGAAGCACCTAGGGCACCTAGGCAGAGCTGCGACGCTTGGCCTAAGAATCGGTCCAAGATGGTTTTCTTTGTGGTTTCCATTTGAACACCAACCAAAAGGCTCGGCTTCTCCGAAGAGAAACAGTATGGCCCATGCATTTCCAGAAGCCCCTTCAGTGGTGCACGCGCTTGGCCCACATGGGCATAACCCCCGGCTCACCCTGGTCCGAGCCACCGGGCAGAACCTTCTCGACTTCGCTTCGAGCGCCCGGAAAGCCGAGGCTCGGAAAGGGGGACGCCAGCAGAGCACCGACCACCAGCACCGCCAGGCGACGGCGCATTCGGCGTTCGGCTTGATCGGCGCGGGCGCATGGCGCAGAGGAATCGATGCCGAGGAATCGGAATGCGGTGTGTTTCAAATGGCGAGGGTCTCTTTGTGGTGTGAGGATTCGGGTTGTTTCAGGTGGCTTATGGCAGCTGGTTGCGTCTCTCTTTGATCTGTGTCTTGAAGGCGTCGCAAACCTCAAACCTGCAGGAAAAAAAGCAAGCTGTGTCTTGCAAATCCCGCAAACAGACTCCTAAGCTCGGGTGTTTCTTGAGTTCCAGACAGACCTCTCTGGCACCTTGCAAATTCCGTCTCGAGCCAGATATTCTCAAGGCAAGGAAATGATATGCCACGCAAGAGTCTTCTTCCAGACTTTCAAGCTGGTGTTTTCGACCCTTCAGAACCACCTGAACATGCCGGCGTCGCTTGCATGGGCGTTTCCGAAGCTTCGGGCCCCAAGACTCTACCCCCAACTCTTTGAATCAATGGACCATCTCGGCCCAGTTGGCCGGCGCCTCTTATGTCCCACGGCTCGCCCGGCCTCCGGAAGCTCCGGCCCCGGCCCGGCCCCCAGCGATGTCTCGAAGCCGTCCAGGAAGATCGTCTGCACGTGGACACAGAACCACCTATCGGGGGAAAGGCTCAGCTTCGGGGAGAGCTATCCAATCAAAGCCTGGTATTCAAGGGGTCTCAAGACCCAGGACAAAAGACTCAGAGGCCGGTTGTTGATATCCGCACCGAGGTTCATGGCAGACCGTTCCCAATTCTGACCTTCATCCAATGGTGACCCAGGATTACTGAAGTCTCGGTTGATTTTGATGAGGGGACGTCCCAATTTAGACGGGTCCAGGTCATCTTTTGATGGGACACACTGCACAAATCCGCAAGTCAGAATGTCCCATTTGGAGTGAATCTCAATCACTTTTTGGGAGAACCCCGCAATCCGCCCGCAGCCTGCCTTGCACAATTCTCCTAAAGGGATCGAAGTGTTTGCTCCATGACCCAAGTCTTGAGCAAGTCAACTAAGTGTGTGTTCTCTTTTTTCGGGGGGAACACCATCTCGACTCCCGGCTTCCCGGTTGCAACCCGCCTCTCCATGGTGATCGGGGTGTGCCTTGCCAGATCGGTCAGCTTCGGATTGGATGGCCCCTGGTTGCAGACCAAGTCCAGCAACAGCTTCTCCAAATGGACTTCGGAGCCCTCGTTTGGAATTCGGTCCTTAAAGGGAAGCCCCTCGTTAGGAAACCAAAATTCAGGGGACCGACTCCGTTGAGGAACCCAAAACCATGTGCGACAGGGTCTAGAAAGGCTAAGCTCAGGCGCGCAAGAAGGCGTTTTCCCGGGATGGTCGGGAAGGCGTCAAGCTGGACATCAAGTTTGTGAGCCAACCAAACCCTCTTTGCTCTCAAGGAAATTCGACATAAGCCCAGAGGCGGTTGGACGGTTTTACAAGGGGACCCGTTTCTGACAAAAACAAAAAAATGTATGAAACCACTGTGTAGCCGCTATGTGAATGGGTATCAGCAAAATGTCTTTGGGGGTCAGCTGGCTTAGGGCGCAGGTTGAGTACTCAAAGGGAAGCCCCCCCTTGCCTTCTTTCCCAGTGATTCGCCCCATGGGCTTTCTGCGAACAACGAAACTGCAACCAAAGGATTAGACCACGGCCCGAGTAAGGCGTCGAAACTGTTTGGCCAACTAGGATGAAGAAACAGCCGCACATGCCACTTCTTCAAGCCCAGTCGATAGAAATGAACTTACGGATCCAGCTGCAAGCGCTTGGTGAACATGCATCCCCTAAAAAGACGTCCACCGAGTGATCTCCTATTGAACTTCACATCCAGATCCTCACTTGCCACAGGACCTGGATATACTTGCAATCTTCGCAACTCAGGTAACCTTCAGTTGGTCGCCGGGGAGCCGAATTTGAACCCCCCCCGGTTCTTGTCTTGTTCTGGGACGGGGGAAACGACCCCACCGGCTCGGAGATTCGCGCAGTTCTGGGCCGCCCCGCGCGAGGTCCTCCTCTGAATACGTCTGCTGGTCGTAGCCCCCCAGTGTCAGGCTGCCGCTGCCCGCGCTGAGCCCATCCCAAGGGCAACACCTCGCGACGAGGAGATGGCTGGCTCATCTCCAATACTTACAAACCCCTCCAAAATGGAGCTCGGGTGTCCCCTCCGGTTTCAAAAAGAAATCAATCAAGAAGGGGGATTTAAAAAAAAATCACAGCCGCAAATCCTTCTTTGGCCCTTGCCCTTTCGCAGGTTCAGGGAGACCAAGAAACACACGCGGGGTTGACCTTGCTCGAAGTTCTGTCTGTGGAGTTCCAACCGAGGCTTGGGCCAACTCCTTGTTTAAACATCTTCCTGTTGAAATAACCTCCCCTTGTGGATTCCCTTCAAAGGAATTGGACCAGGTTGAAGCAAATGTTGCTCAAGCCCGGTGAGTGGCCCTTTATGTGATGAACATTCGCATGGGAAGAGTTATGCATGGTCATGCCAGTTGATCAATCCCCGCATGCAGCCGTCAAGAGGTCAGCTTGAATCAGGTACCCGCTGTGGTTTGGAGTGGTTTGGAGTTGGACCTCGGTCAACGGGAACTCCTCCACTCTAAGGCCCGGGCTGCATGGCGAAGATATTCCGCACGCCACTCGTGGCCTTTGCACCAAGCAGGAATGCCGTTTCATTGGCTTCCCAGAAAAAGCAACGCACCAGCAAAAACAACAGAATATAAACCGGGGTGGATGTCCCCAGTTGAAATCCACAGAATGCCCAGAAAGCAGAACATCAGCTTCCCTTTACTTGGTGGTTTGGAGCCCGGTGGCTTGGTGGGTAGGGGGCGGTGGGTGGTTTGGAGCCCCATTGACCCTCATTCTCCAGGCCTTCAACAAACCCGATCCGAGCTCCAAACCGATCTTTCGGGCGACCGATCGAGCACGGGCCCCGAGAAATCGAGTCATTGCGGTTCCGGCCACCACGTCGTCCCATAGAGATCGTTGAAGGCCTGGACGTCACTTGGGGCCATGTGAGCTGCCTGTTTTGTTGGCACCCGCCAAAAAAAGAGCACGCCCCTCTGGGCGGGGCCATTCTTCAGGCTAACCTTTTCCGGTTGGTTTGAAGGGAACCAAAAGGACGACAGCCATTTTGGGTCCCAGTCCCCTGTTGTGAGGGACCAGCCTCGCGAAAATATGGGCATAAGGGAGACCTCACAATGACTATTTTGGGGTTCCTTTGGCTTCAATTTTTGAACCAACCTCACCATCAAAAAAAGACGAGCCACCCAAGTGGACCGAACGGTGTCTCGTTTCTTGTACTGTTGGACTCCGAGGTCGTGGGTTCCTTGAAGCAGGACAACAAACCCAACCCAACCCAACCCAGCATAACACGCACAAACAAACAAACAAACAAACAAACAAACAAACAAACAAACAAACAGACCAACAAACGAGGGAACGAACTAACGGCCCAGCCCAGCCAGCCAGCCAGGCAGCCAGCCAGCCAACAGGAAGGCGGGCAGGCAGGCAGGCAGGCAGGCAAGCAAAAACAACAAGACGGAACAACACAACAGAAGCAATCAAACAACACAAAGGGCGAGACATGTCAATGTGTGCGCGAGTTCTGCCTCTAGGCAGAAGCGCAGGATACGCCATGCCAATGATGCCGCTCGAGACAAAGCCGCCCCTGGCTGAGCAAAGGGTTGCGAAACGACAACATGACAACGGGGCATGGGGGGTTTCTCGTTCTCTCAAAATGGTGGACCCGTTTTGGTTGTGTTTTTTTAGGGAAGCCAAAGGGAAACCGTTTCCGTTTTGGGGTAGAGACACCCGCATGGTCTTGTAACACACCTTTTACTCCTTTCTGAATGAACCCGCCGGTGAGGCGGGATGGAGGAGCATTCCGTGAGGAAGTTGCTCTGCTCCTCAGATCCCAAGAGTCACTGGCTGTGGTTGTGACATGTATCCAGGCGAACTTGGAAGGTTCCAGGACCCCGAAGACTCAAGCTCCATGCACTGTAACCCTCTTTCTGGGAGCCATGTTGGCCCTGAGGGAGGGGAATAGGCCGCAAGCCTCGTCCAGAATAAGCCTCACGATACGATGAAAGAAACTCACCGTAATTTTGGTTCCATTCGCACCAAAAGCGAAAATCCAGGTCTGCTCACCAACAATTGTAGACACGGCTATGATTCTTATGTAGGGAACACCCTGAAAATTGGTGGATGGACATAGACCCACACGGTTCCAGCCATCGTTCAAAGGGCTCGAACCGAGTCCACGGCGTAAATTCCGGCGAACATCGGATATCCAGCCTGTACACAGGCTGAATCGAATCTGCCTTTGTCCCCCCCCCCCATTGGGGTTATAGTTTTCTTGAAATAAGAATATGCTGATTCTTGTTGGATTTCTAAACTGCAGGTAACTTGATGAATGAGCCACTCGAGCCCAAGCTCTTGGTTCCTTGCGTCCGCTCCTCGTTGATCCAGAGACAGTGTGCGGGTGTGTATGTCGGCCCCGAAAAGGGGGGTTCCAAACGGGCGTGTGTCTTTGCTCGCGGGGAAACCGACACACACACACACACACGTGAAAACACACACACACACACACACACGTGAAAACACCTTGTGGCTTGCTTGTTCTCCCCTTCCAAGGTGCATTGGGGACCTGGCGGATAGGCCTGCCACCCGCACCTGAATGGCGAGGTCCCATGCTCTGGGCGTTCTGCTGAGATGCAGCCTCCTTTTCGGTCCCCCTTTACCTTGGTGAGGGGGGTGTGCGACCAGCTTTTTGGCCAGGTGTTCTTCATTCTTTAGCCTCGCCTCTCCCTTTTAACCAGTTTTGCACCAGCTGCAGAACCAGAGCCCGGCCTCCGGGCCCTGGCACACGTAGCCCGACCTTGAGTCAACAAAACTCGAAGGAACCCGATTGGCTTGCCTCTGATTTCCATGACCCCCAAAAGGGGACCAAGCTTCAACCCAGACGCCCACATGTTGTGTGTTGGCGACGATTGATTTGAATGGGACCAACAGATGCTGGAGGAGAAAGGCATCAAGTCCACAGCGCAAACAGCTAGGCCTCCTGCCAATTGGCGCTTCCGTAACGGGCTTGAAGATGCCGGCCTCTATTAAGCCGCAGTCAAAACTATTGGTAGCTGTCACAAGACCTGCGTTCCAGATGATGTGGGACATCCATCAAAGACGAACCCAAACCAGAGGCGGATAAGCAACAATTGGCTAGAAAAAGAGGTTCTACCTCTTTTAACCCATGGTAAACACCCCACGCCAAAAAAAAAGCTTGATCATCGCTGGTGGGGACTGTTCCCCGCCCGGTCCGCGCCTTGGCAGCCTCCGGTGTAGTACTCGCTACAACTCGAGAGGGGCCGGTCAGGAACTGCGAAGGTCCTAAAGCACCCCGAGGCAAGCGAAAGGGAGCGATCCGTGGGAGAAGGGGGAAAGAGTAACTGAAAGGGGGGTGGGGTTGGTTTGGAGAGTTTGGGTGCAGGCTTGCAGGTTGGACTAGGAGCACTTCCGGGTCAGTACAGGCCAATGAGGCTCCAAACAGAACATGGCTTCGTGGTGGACTTCATGATTCCGCCTGAAAGTCGATGGTGAATTTGGTACACGCAACCTCGTTTTCGGTTGGACGTTTTGTCTTTGGGGCAGCGGGCAGCCAACAGAATTGGCCAACCCGCTGATTGATCATCTCATCCTTTCCGCAATCTCCTTTGGGGTCCCCTTTCGAGTGGAAAGTCTCGGGCTTTTGCCACCAACCGGTTCTTTAAAGCATACATCCCAAACTGCCTGCCTGACAAGGATTCGGATCCTCCACATCAGCCGGCAATTGTTGGTCCGAATGTGTACCCTGATCGAAAAACGGAAACACAACCTTGGAGCTGGGCAGTTCACACGAATTCTAGTCAAACAAATACCCAGTTTGAGCTGGTATCACTTGGGAGTGCCCTCTTCAAGCCGAAAAGCACACCCACCCTTTTTCCCCACCAGCTGAAAGCTTTGGGGTCTCAGCAGGCTTTGGGGTGGTCCGGGGTGGCCCTGAGCCAAGGTTCCACCAGGGTTCCACCGGGGTTCCACCGGGGTTCCACCGGGGTTCCACCGGGGTTCCACGAGATTCTGCGAGGGCTGCGGGGTGGTGCGAGCACTAAAAAGAGTACCGCATGCTGTTGCGCATATCACCTGAGCTTTTTCTTGGGGGGGGGGGGGTCCCTGTTCAGAGACGAACCCATAGGGCTCCGTTTTTGGCGGATGAGACCCCGGCGAAGAACCAGTGTCCACCACCACGGGGAAGCTCTGAGTGCCGATCTTCACCTCCGCTGGCCACGTGAACCAACGTACGTATGGCCTGTAAATAGGACTTGCATGTCTCCATTGAAAACTGGAATTGAACATAGGAATTGGTTTTGAAAATGGGAAATGGTCTCAATATAAGTAGTTCTGAAAATAGGACTTGGTCCCCCTCTACGTGGGCTCCATTTTGTGTCCTTTCTTGGGGGTCGAAAAAACCGGGCTCTTTCCCCTTCAATGCCAATCACAAGGTCCAGCATTTCGAGAACTCCCGCATTGTAAACTACGGAAGCAGCCCTTTAAGTGGCATTGCTCAGGGTTAATCCCCTTAGAACCTGGTTGCAGCCTACTTGCCAAGTGGGTGAACACCCGATAAAACAATTTTGTTTGTTTCTTAGTTCGTTAGTTCATTCGTTTGGTCGTTCGTTCGTTTGTTTGTGTGGGCACCCTTTGTTGGAACTGACATTGGCCATTTCCAGATCTATCTACTGCACCACCTCCGGAGTTCTGCATCCTCCAAACACGCACGCACGCACAGTCCGCCGACAATAGCCACGGAGTCAAATCTCTGCCGCCTCCACCGCGAAGTCGGACCAAGCTGCTCCCGTCATCCCACCTGCCACGGGCTGGCTCAAAACCCCCCGAGATGGGGGCGGTGTTTCTTTTTTGAGTCTCGGTGCCCCCCGTTTTTGCCGCTTTCGCAGGGAAAGCAGAGGAAAACCTTGGGGGGTCAACAAAGGCTTACCTGGCTCAAAGACACAAGAAGTGATGCAGTTGAGACAAACCGCAACACGAATATATATATATATATATATATGTACACATATATAATGTTTGATATTATCAATCTGATAGTGGTTCCATACTCTGGTTTTGTGCACATGCAGCTCAGTGAAGGGCCCCCTCTTGCCGTAAGTTTCAACCTGTTCTTGGGCCAAGAAAAGCCAAGTTGAAGAAACCTTGACGCGACACGTGAGTGTCCTTTGAGGGTACCTTTTTCGGTTGGTTCTTGCTCGGTGAACGGAAAACCGCCAATTTTGAGGTTCCCCTATCTTGAGATAACCCCAAGTGGCCATGGGTCAAAACCCAAATCGTACCCCCAGTGAACCAGTGGGTATCCCAATCCCCACTAAAGTAGGTTCTAAAATGGGTGGTGCGCCTATCGCAAAAATGGTACCGTTGGTTTTGAACCATGGCCAATTGGACCCAACCGTTTGAGGCCCAAATCGATCGCCGAACTCGTGGCAGCAGGACTCGTGGCCACATCTCTCGGCTCGCGGCGCGACTTCAGGCGAGGGAGTTTCTTCAGGCCTTCGAGAACACCAAACGACAGAGGTCTGCGGACTTCAGGTGCCCCCCAGGGATTTCGAGTCAAAATCCAGTGGTACTCAATGGCAGCAATGGCATCCCTTTGCAGTGAATCCCTTTGCAATGGCATGAATGGTAGTCAAATCCCTTTGCTGTGAATGGCAGGGCAAGTTTCCGCCTTGGCCTTTACATGGCCAGTCAAAGACTCTTGGGCCGGGGGGTGAAGCAGGGAGCTGCATTCGCAGCACATCCAAAAACCACCTGCCAAGCGGATTCTCTAAAAATCAGCTGGACGTGAACCAGCTGGAAAAGTCTGTCGTTTGCATCCTTCAAACCCTCAGAAGCTGATATTCTGGGGGGCTTAAAACCCCTGCAAAAACACAGGTACAGGTTTCCTTTTGGGAAACAAAATGGCTGGACTATGAAACCAGGTCAGGGCCAACTGCAGCTTGGAACTCTTTGGACTAGGGTCCGGGTTTCACGTCCGGTCCTGGCCAGTGCCAACTTAAAGCGCTGCCAACTGAAAGCCTGGGCTCAAAAGCGGATTCACCCGGACTTCCGACATACCGACATACCCAACGGGATCCAAAAGCCACGGGCTCAGAGCACGGCGGATCTTCACACTTGGGTCCTGCGGTCCGCCAATTTGGGAGAAAGGAGACCAAACATCGATGACTAAGCTGCCTGAAAAAGAGGAATCAACCGATTTGGCTCCCCCCAGTTTGCACAAGCAAAAAGACATCCGCTGCCTTGACCGCGCCTGGATGCGCATGGACATTTCGAGCCATTTTGCGTAAGTGTCATAAAACAAAAGTGGACACCCAAATGACGGTGTTGCTTTTCATTTCCCAAACCAACACTGGAAAGGGAACCCTTCCAAAAAGCGAACCCATTTCGGGTACCACTCGCGCCCGTCCTGTGCAGTTTGCAGCTTCCTGGCTGAGTTCTGCAGCGCCACCAGCGCCTCAGGCGTCACTCATCAGCGAAGCAGGTGAAGGATGCGCCAAACTGCCCATGGACAAACTCCCGTGATTTCTGGTTTCTGTGGCTCCGGGAATTGCTGCAAAACCAAATGAATGGGGTTGGGCCCATTCATGTTGAGCCCGGATTCTTGTAACCCAGCCTACGAAAAGAGTGGGGCCCCTCCAATGGCGATGAATCTCCGTTAAACCCAAAAACCTCCTATTAATATGCTTCTTATCAATCCAGGGGTCCCATTACCCCTCACAATCTGAGTGGAGAGGCTGCCCTTTTCCAAGGACTTGGCCCTTGGGCGTCCAATCCAAGCGCCAGGCGCAATCCGCGTCGAGCGTCTCACACCTCACCCAGGGCTGTCAGGCCCTTGACACCTTCATACGATCTCAACTTTTTCAAGGGGCGCGGTCTGGTTGCTGAACCATGCAAACAACTTGCAAACATCCTCCCTAACACTGCCATTCCATCTTCCGACGCTTGCTTCTTCTGCGCCCAAGCTCCGCGCTCTCCGAACAGGGATTCATCTGCCCTCGCGCGGTGAGATCCATTCAAGAAAAACGAAAGCCAGGGTACCCGACACAGCTGCGAGGGGGCTGGCTTTGATCAGCCCGGGCAAACCAAATTCGAGATTCGACCGGGGCAAGCCATGTCTCAATGAACCCTTCAGGTCCTTCATGGACTCAAGTCAAAACCCCTCGCTCCGGTCTGAGGCAATGACCTCACAGAGAGGATCAGCCCTCAGATTTTGCAGCTTGGACTGTGGCAAAACCTTCAGGGTCCCATGAAAGTGACATTCTCGAGTTCAGCATTGGCAACCCCTCCAGCAGTGGTGTCCTTCTGGTAAAATGGATGGATTTCCCTGGCAAATGGACCGGCTAAAAGCCAAGCTAAGCCAGTGGAACCCATCTATTTCATGGCAACGAACCGCTCGCAAGGATACCTATGCCAGCACTTTCGCGACCCAGAACCACCTTGGCGCCAGCCGCTCTCTTTTTCCTTACCCGCTCATATCTGTGTGATGCTTCTCCGCGCCCGATGGCTTGCGGCTGCCCAGGATTTCTTGACTGGTTCATTTTCATTGGGGAGCGTCTCATTCCTCTGTTTGTTTTGTTTGCAGGGGATGGGGATCATTTCTGGAGCAGCTGTGTTCATTTTCTGAAATCCAGAGCACTTTCGGTGCCACCCACCTATTTCCCCCACTGATCTGCTGCTTACATCCGCATCGACATCGCAAACGACTCCAGCTCTAGGCCCGATTTCGGGCCGGACCCGAGCTTGGGAGTTCCCGCGCTGCGATGCTTGGGCCCGAAGGGACAAAATCGGCCCGGGAACTCCGCGCGGCGCGCCGAGGCCGTGACTTGAAGGAGTCCCTGAAAAATCCCCAGAACCGGATCCGGTCACTGGAAGTCCAAGTGCCCATGGCGGTGGCGATACGCGCGGCTCTTGCAGAGCTTTAGGCAGTCCCCGTTCCTCGCTTTCGATTTCTCGACCCAGGCAGCGAAAGGTTCGAGTTGCCCTCCAAAAGAAGACACATCTCTTGATGAAAGCTGTGGCAGGGCTCTGCAAGGAGACTGCAAGGAGACTGCATGCTGAGCTTGTGTGTAGAAGAAAAAGGGGGTGGGAGCTCCCCAATTCCACTTCTCATCCAAAAATGGGTGGCCAGAATGAGGATCTGGAGTCGAAAATCCGCTTCAAAGGGCTGCTGAGGTCGGCTTTTCCTTTTGGTTCGATCGGCTTCTGCGGGCCGAGCTGCGCGGCCTCTCGCCTCTTCCTGGCCGCGCGGGCAAAATGGGCGCGGCTCACCGGTCTTCTTTTTTTTTTTTTTTTCGCGGGCGCCCTTCCTCTGAAGAAAAAAAAAGCATGGCAGGAGGGTCCCCATGAGATGAGTTTCCTCTTGAAGGTACTCCCTGTTAGGCGCCATGTGGAGGGAGGGTGCCCCCTTGTTCAAAAAAAAACGAGAGGAAAAACGGAAAACACCCAAAGCCCCAAAAACTGGAAACAAGGCAAGCCCGCGCCCTGTTCCCTCCCGACAGAAAAACAAAAGCAGCACGGAACCCTCTTGGGCCAAAGGGAGATTCCTCTAACCGTGGTTTCTTGGGCTCCATGTAAACCGTTTCTCTGAAATTCAACTGCTTCAAGTGCCGAGTGTGTACATGAGTTTATGAAATTTCGCTGTGTGGGGTCAGCCCTTGCTTCCACGTGTCCGCTGCCCACTCCTCTCGCCTCTTGCCACTCCTCCGATGTTTCACCATCGCCAGGTGACTCGCCAGGGGGGCGGAAACCATCTTCATCCAATCCTGGAGGTTTGACTCGTAGTTCTTGCCCTCAAAGGATCGGTTTAAAAGGGAACAACTGGAGGGTTCCGGAAACCTATTTTTCACACTCCGACTTGTTGATCCTTTGTGGCACTTTCCCTTACAGGTATCCCAAATGATGTCAACCCCCCCAACTCCAAAAAAAAGAGTCGAAACTACCGAGCAACACATGTTTTCCCAAAAATGTACCCACTAAACCTAAGAAGCCTGTCCTGTTTTGAGGAAAACCCCGCAAGAATGGCTTACCTACTCAAAAAAAAAAACACGACGCTCTCGCTCGCTTGGAGTAGGTGTGCTTCCCGGACGGCACAAGATCGGCGACTTCCAACGAGTCTCCTCCACCGCCGCCTGCGGGTCCCGCTTGCAGGGCGTGGCCACTTCGCACCGGCCCGGCAGCGCCTCGGGACCGTCGAGAGACCCCGAGACCTTCCCCATCTCGTGGCAGCTGATCGCCAGGGAAAACGGAGAACGGCGAAAACCGACGTTTTAGAAAGAAAGGCCGCCAACGCAACCCCGCAAGACATGATGGAACATCAGGGAAAACCATGGAATCATGGACTATCATGGAAGGTCAATGGAGGGCCCACAGGTGAAACCTTGGGCCAGGGCGCCAGTCGGGTACGAAACACGAAGACGAGTCGGCCGTCGGTGTGCCGCGTCAGAGTGGAGCTGATGGCTCCCTGCAGGTCAATGGCGCGCAGCTCCAGCGCCTTGCGGCCGGTCTTGGAAGGAGTTGGACCAAACGGATTTGGGGATGTGTCTTTCTTGGACCAAATTGGACCGATTTGGGTTGGATTTCGATTCCGTTGTCTTTTTTGGACCAAAAGAGTCCTCAAACATTTTGCGAGAAAACCAAACATCGCTTACGTGGCACGATGGCACGATGGTACGCTGGACCAATTGTTGTTTGATTTCCATGTCCTTTGGGTTGTGTCTTTTTGTGGCTGGTTGGCTCCTTGCCTCAGTCTTGGGTTGGGGGCAGCAAGCGGTATTCTCTGGGGTGTGGGTTGCCTTCCCGCATCACCATCACCGGCCTCGCTGGTTTCGGGCTTGCTGAGATCTTGTTGAAGGCAGGTCTTGGGTTTGTTTGTTCTTTAGGCAAAGCAAAAGGCTGATATCCAGGATGCTGGGTGAGTTTAAGGTGGCTTTGGGTTGGTTTCGGGATGCGGTTGCGTGTGTTGAGTTGTGGTGGTTTGGGGCAATGCCCCACAACCAATCCCAATCCAGCCAAAAACTCATGCAAGCACATCCCTAAAGCAACCAACCAACCAACCAACCAACCAACCAACCAACCAACCAACCAACCAACCAACCAACCAACCAACCAACCAACCAACCGACTGGGGTTAAGTTTAAACAAAGCGTTTGGTGAGGCCAGATCCAACATCTAGTTCCACTGGTTTCCTACCAAACAAACACGTCCTTTTTCAGGTCGGACCGAACATGGACTTTATTTCCGCTAGCTTCCTACCAAACAAGCATGTCTTGTTGTCAGGTTGGATCCCCAAAATTATGATGTGTTATTTGGTTTGCCGCGCAAACCACAAAACAATGGTGCCCTCAAAAAACGACTCTCCCATTTGGGTGTTTCCTTGTTAGGGACCCGGCCCCCTTTTTGTTCGCTTGGGAAACCAAAAGGAAAACCGATCAGCCGAAGTGATACCTCCAGCCGCCCCGGACCCCCCCCCCCCCCCCGAAACCCTTCAGGAGCCACCCCCTAGATGGGGGGAACATGTTCTTCGGGCCCCCTATCTTAAGATGACCCACCATGAGTGGTTTCGGGATGTGTAGCTTCCAGAACCAAAGGGGCTCAAAAGACATCACCAACAACGATCTCCACTTGGAAAACAATCCCAAAGGCCCAGAAAGATTCAGTACTGTACTAGTAGCAATTATGAAAGGAACCTGAAACATATGCCAACTTCGGATTCATCCAGTTGGGAGAGTTCCTCTAGCTAGAAGTGTCCTCCGAAATAGTCCGCTTAACATTGGCTGCAGCACGTCTCCGCATTTTTGTTGGGCGGGGGTGACCGGGTTCCCTCCTTGGATTTCTTGGAACAGTCGACACTGAGAAGCCGCGAATCAAACCCGACTGAAACCAAGGATCTCAGATCTCAAGGGGCCCGCCCGTTGTTAAGGCCGGCTTTTAGACCGCCCACCCCATCGGCGCCAGCAGGCCTGGCGGCAAGCTGTCCAAGTGGAAGCCGCCTTGGTGCAGAAGCACCGCATCAGGATGAGGGCGCTCAGCGCGGAGATTGCGGTGCCCAGATCTTTGCAAGAACATGCTTGCGCGTAGAGACCGTCGTGCAGGTGGACCTCAAGATGTGAGATGCGAGGGTAGGGGGAGGGGGTGAACAATGAGGGTTCTCAAATGAGTTTTTTTCGCAAACCAGCAGGTCAAATCGGGATAATCAATCATTGGGTGCCCCTTGCTGGCTTTAACGGCATCCCAGCCATGATTTTTTGCTTCTGGAGGTGTGCTTTGAAATACTCAAAACGGGAATCTCACAAAAGACAACCCTCTTCTCTTAGGACGTGTAGTTCGAGTTCGATTGGGTTCACCTGACTTCCGCAAATTTCACAGCGAAGCATGCAAACCAGGTGTTGCCTTTGGGATTCCGCAGACACCGCTGGCTGTTTGAGGCAAGCCCCAAGTTCCCCCACATTGGTCTAAACCCCAACAGTGACCGCAGCCCAATACCACAGAACCCCAAGTCAGACAAAAGTCAGAGAGAGTCGCTGAGATCCCGGCGCAGGGCCGGAAGCTGTGCTTCTGCTTGCAGAGGCTCCGCTCTGACACTCCCTTCCTCCTCTTCCAAGTGACTGGCTGCTTCCTGGCTGGTTTTGTCGCAACCCAAATGGCCGGTTTGCTCCGGCCCTGGTGAGCGATCCAAAGGGGGCCAAAGGTGAACGTCGTGTTTAAGAAACACGGATTGTGCTTGGAGTTGGGCTTTCCCCCCCGAGTTCATGGCCATTTGGGCTCGCAACCTGGAACGAAGAAATCCCTGGAGTGGAACCACCTAATCTGCCGCTGCGGAAGACTCGAAGAGCCCAATTTTGGCTGTGGGTCAACATTAAAAAAGAGGGTTACGCAGTTGTTGGTCCATGTTTCCACTTACCAGGGCAAGTCATGTTGGAATTCCGGTTTGTTGAGCCACAGCCAGAAAAAACCGGGAAACCCCAACACGGAAACCGAAATCCGTTTGGGGTGCCCCGCATTGCCTCAGCATGCATCGCTCCAAGCTCTGGCGTTGCTGCAGGGAGAGGCGGCCTTGGATGACCTCCAGGGTGAGAGGAATGGCTGTGGGTCAAAACCCTGTACTGGTGAACATCAAAATACAGTAGGTGGCACATGGGTGTTCATCCGCAAAATGGAGGCATAGGCTGTGACCCATGGCCGTTTTCCCAGCGGTTGCTTTTAT